GTCGTGTTGAATGAGTGCGTCTTCTGTGCTGCACACACAAAGTAAGTCGTGCCTTCTGGGCTGGGTTGGTGCTTCAGAGGTGTGGGGTGAGTAGTGAGTGGATGTGTGTGAGTGAGTGAGTGGGTGGATGGTTTGCAGCTTACCAATGAGATAGATGTGTATTGCCTTAATAGACATTGATGTTGTAACACAAAGGTGATTTCCCTTCATTAACCAAGTTTATCAGCTATCGAAGAGGCTACTTTTCACACAATGAGATAAGTGGAGGACACATTGCCAGAGTATGAACCCACTACCGTTTGATGGCGTGTGGGAGTGGGGTCCGGTTGCCCAGCTCTCACGACCTTCACGTTTGGTCTAGACGTAAGTGTTAAGCATTACGCTACTGGAAGTTGTTCTAGACACATCGCTATCGAGTGATGTGTTCAGTGGTACCACTTACTTCTTCAGGATGACGCTTTCACCGAATACGGCGCTAACTTTACGAGAAGATTCTACAAATTTGGAGCCGAGTTCGAAATGGGAGAAAAACGTGGAGATAATAAAGGCGACCTCATTGGTTTACGGCACACAAAAATCACATTTAATGGGTTTCAACGATTTGCTAGTCGATGTGAGAACCATGACAATCACCAAACGGATTTCTACGATTCTCTGATAACACTAATGCTACTACTACTAAAATTTCCAATTTATTTTACTATTTCTTAAAGAACAACTCTACCTACCTTAGAATCTATCAATACGTACCAGACCGTTTCAAGTGTTTTGAGCAGTGTCAAATTGAAATAACTTACTAGAGCTAGGACCCAGCGACACGCTGACTGAGACTAGCAGGTTGATTTATTGCTCCAAAATTGACAATCCTGTACAAGAGACAACATTTCGAAACCAATAATAGACAGTGCGAATAAGGAAGATCAGATGCTTTGGAATAGCCTGTTGATGTCTCTCTGGACGGAGTCGTGCTCTCGAAGAAAGCGCGAGGGGATGTTTCGTTCCAAAGCGGTCTTCCAGTCCCCATTTGTCTCCTTGGCTGTGGCCAGAATGGCGTGAATGGTCACCAACGTTAGAGTCTTGCTGCCCGAGCGCCAGTGCACGTACCGCTCCAACGGAAGCCGCATGCACTGCACGCCTGAAAACAAAAGAAAGTTACCGACTACCCATTATCAAATAGTAGAATCCCGTAAGTAATGGGAGCGCGTTAATGCTCGCAGTACGATGCAAAGGGATGACGACATCATAACTCTACCCAGTCAGTCAAGAAACATGAACAAAAATTCCTGTAAACCTTAATCTAGACCTATCCGAAGCAAATATAATGTGACCAAAGGGGCTTATCTAGGATTTTTTTTGAGGAGAATAAACAAAATCCAAAAAAACAAAGCGGCCTAAAACGAAAATAAAACCTCTGAATCCCCTGAAAATTGATTGGAACATATATTGACTTGAATATGAAAAATTGACCCAGCAGTCTAATGGCAAAGAAAGTCTTCCGCAATAGTAAGGAAGTTAACGATTACAATCATTAAATGTGATGCTTCTGACATCAGATTGACAGAAAAAATAAACACTACCAAATAGGCGTAATTAGTTATATTTCGATAATAATGACATGAATGCAGCAAAACGCAATTACCGCCATTGATGAAGATAACAGCTTTGGAATGTGTTCATAGATTCACTTTAAATGATCAGATGGAGCTACGCCTCAGGTCAAGTGATAAAATCAGAAAAACGCACCAGCACGACGAGCCTTTGCATAGGTGACGGGACGGCGAATAGCCTTGTCAACGATGCCACCAACGACGAAGGCGGCATCATGATCGAATTCGCCATTTTCAAAGGCGCAGGATGCATTCGGGCTGAGATATATCAGTTTGCGACCCCTCATCACTTCACTGAAGTGTTCCGATCGTACCGTGAAGGGACATTTATCCAAACCCCCAAGCCTTTCCGAATGCAGATTCGGAAAATTGTCCTATCAATTAAAGCACATCAATTGAATCACCTTAAGCAGAAGGATTTGATGAACTCCACCAAATAACTCAACGAAACTCACTGAACTATATGTACCAAAGGCCTCCTCAAAAAAGCGATATTGATTAGTTCCGGGTATGAGACTCGTGAACATAAAGTGAAAGGGGAAAGGTCGGATCGTTCGATTGTGTGCGAAAGCCATTGCCAATTGGCGTGCAAGGTTCTTCTGATCCATGATGCGCATTTCGCTTTCATGTGAACAATCGAAAACCAGGGTTTGAGCAGAATCGTCAGCGGTGCGGAGTTCGGCCACCACCCAATCGTCATAGTGCATTCGAACCGGACTGGAAGTTATTAAGCGCAGAATTTGATTTTTCTGCGTCAGTTCACTGGGCATCTAAAGATAAAAACACACAAATATTCCTGTACCTCCTTCACAGCTCTTGCGGCCAGTTTAGCCTTCCTAGCTTCCTTCTTCTTTGACACCTTGAATCGAAACAGGTAATAGCGATTCCGAGCACTGATAGAGGCACAACACAAGAGCTCCAGATAATCCAGGGCAGATAGGTTCGGAGGCGCAGGTCTACCACTAGCGATAAGCATATTATGTTCGGCTTTAATATACTCAAGCCTTTGGGCATCATCAGAAGTCAAACTCTTTAGTACCTCTTCAGCAGGTTTCGTACGATCTAGGAGATAAGGAGCGATAGATATATGCGTTGGGTAGAATCTGCATTGTGCTGTAAAGCTGGTAAATGTTGGGGATAAAATGTCTGGAATTGGTCGACATTTGAAAATAGCACTCACTAAACTCTGCATCACAACAAACACCCCAGTGACCCTGAAACTGGCAAATCAGCGATTCGCGGAATAAATGAGCTGCTTGAAATAAATAGGAGAATGGCAAATAATAAAAGCAATGAGTCGGGATGTATATCAAGTCTAAAAACTCAATTCAGCTTATTAAACCAATGTTTGTTACATGGTTTTAGTATGATCAGTTGCAAATTAATTAAGCTGAAAATAATGGATCAAGGATAATGAAAGTTAGGTACATACAGAAACAATGTATTAAAGAAGATTATTGTGCCAAAATTAGGCATTGCAAGTAAGTTAGTATTTATAGCAAATAAGTGAATGCTTATCATGCACGTTTAATACTACGTGATAAACCGTATGAAGTATTGGTTATTTCTGGCAGACCGGAACTATGGAATACAATGTTATGGAAACAGATCCGCCCACTTTTTCGCTTATTTATTATTAATCACATTGTTACTTTTAAGAAGGAAGGTGATAGCTTGTGTACTCTAAACTCAACACGCAAATACATTTTACTACTTTCGCATATTATTGAGCTGTTCGTCAACCAAATCACAGGTGTGGCATCTTTTCCAAATTGCTTTTCTGCTGGTCCTACCAAAGTCATTGTCATGGACTTATTTAAGTCAATTTTGTTTACATTAATTTGACTTTGTTCGTTATTTCGATAAACATCTGATTTGTCGCGCGTCCACATGCTTCGTTGCCTTTTTTTGCCGGATTTCCCCCAGATTCTTTTAACTCCTCTGACGCCTTTAAATCATAAGTTTGTACAAGAAAGTTCTGATTTTGTTGAGATCCCATGATAAATGCCTTAGACCTTAATTCAAACCTTGTCTTCTACTCATTTTGTTTGGTACCACAGCCATAACCTAGCTACTTTATTATAGATTGCTACAATGGATGAGCCAACCAATTGTTCAGATCATTTTGAATTATTCAAGAGCGATATTGAAACCCGATCCAGTGAACTAATGCAACATTTGGAAAGTTCTAGAAATACGTTTTGGGAAAATCTTCACGCTTGTCGGGAATACGTTATTGAACGGGTATACTAAGTTGTCTTGTTTGCTATCACTTAGATTAACTTTTTATTTAGTGAGCTTGAGTCGCAAGCTTTGTATGAGCAAAAGCTAATTGATGATAAGGCACAAGAGCTTGGCATTGACATTATGAACACTTTCGAAAGAATCGGAGCTTGCGTTTCCACAATTGATGCTTGCAAGCAATCACTGAAAAACCTATCTTTTGATGCTCGCGTTGCTAAAGGCTAAAGATGTTTCCACAGTTGCGTTTGTACATTCAGGAAGTTTTGAATCATTATTGATGGCAATTTGGGCCTCTTTGTGATTACTTTATCCTCCTTTAATAAACGTTGCTTTTCTTTCTTTTTTAATACATCTAAAGGGGTTAATTTCGGAACGACTTTTTTTGCTTAGTTTTGTATTTATAGTGAAAGTACTCTGATAATACACTAAACTATAAACCAGTGGTGAATTTCAACGGTGAAAGATTTGTGGGAATGTAGCCTTACTAAGCCTTTAACTTCAAAAGGAAACAGAAAGTTACGCACTATTTTGCTTTTAGTATGGTTTTACATCTATCACTTAGCCTATGTTAGTTTATTCTCTTATTCTTTGAGCAAAAGCTTTTGAGTTTAATGGATTAAATTAAGTCGTCGTTTTCATGATTTAGCAACTAAAATTGAGAAGATTGGGAATCACTTTTATGCCTGTCATCAAAGTGAGCTATCAAAGTACATTGCTTTACTTGACAGAGATAGCGTCAGCACTTTCTGCGTATACACAAAAACTTGCTAAGTTTTTGGCGGAGCCTAATCCCATTTAATTATCCATCCAAATGGACGCCAGAACCGCTCTGAGTGGCACTGTTTGCTAATTATATCCGTCGCCTCTGCTCATTACCTTTCAAGCTAGAAACAAATTGCCATTTTATTTCAAGATGCAGCCCGCTTCTCGCCTGAAATTTTACTTATTTCCGAGTTTAGTTGACTCCTTACCGCTTATCTTATTTAGTTAACTCAAATTCAAATGATATCGCCCTACGAATACCCGAAAGTAAACAAAATTACTGCTTTACTAACAATAATTCCTGTTTGTCGCTCAATTAAGTAGTAAGCATAAGAGACTGCTCTTTGTCTTTTTTAATTTCCCGCTTGCCATACACTCTTCATTTCTTACATATAAGAACAGAGAATTTCTCAAATTAGCCTATTAGACTTCAACAGAAGTATTTCCATCGCCATGACTTTAACTTTATCTTTCTGAGATAGCAAATCGTTCTCTTAAATAAGCTTGAAATGCAACAACTATGATTCAGGTGTTCGAGTTTACGAAGTAGGATGTCTCGACCTAGTGAATTGCAGTTAATGCCACATCATTTTGGAGGACGCGTGTGCCTAAGGATGGGTGTTGCTACGACCTGTCCAGCTTAGGCAGAAAACTAACTTGCATTCAAAGCACCCTATGTACTTCAGTAGTAATCAGCAAGATGAATGATGTGTGAACTTCCAAAATTTTAGTGACCTTCCACCAAAAAATCCAACTGCCTTCTGTTGCAAAGTATAAAGTGAACTCGGTACCACCTTCAACAGGGTATTAGCGAAGGACATAGAGCTGCAACGGCTTGGTCCCCTAAAACAAGAAATAAATACCTTGAAAAATTTCTCAACGATGACGAATGATTTCTGCAAACTACTAGAGTGATAAAAAATTGGATTCTGAAATTGTGGTTTACCTAAAATTGCCTTTGGTTCAGCCTAATAACACAAGGAAATGTTTTCAGAAGCACATATACGCGACCACTTATGGTGAGAGGTTTCCCTTTCTGGAAGTTCTGCATTTTAACTTACCCAAAGCTGGACTTTATGTGTTTCTGTGAGCGCGTAGTCCTTAAATTCCTTCAAAATATATTTAATTTTCGTGGTGACTTCGGAGGTTACCACCACCTCCATTGCCTTCGCGTAGCGTTTGAGTTCCAAAACATCCTCCAACGCACTTCCGTAAACAAATTGACTATTTAACACAAAAAAAATATAAGATTTTATTTTCTTGCCTTCAACAATTTAAAACTTTGTTAAGTGGGGTCGGTTCAAATACATTTATGTCTCACAGGGTAGAGTTTTGCTTTCCCATTTTGAAGAAGCTATTCTTTCTTGTAAATTAGCTGTTTTATTGGTTCCTTCAACTTTGGCAACCCACAAAGTGGAATAAAAATAGCCGAATTTACAGCGGGATCTTCAGTGATTTCTCCATGAAAGCAACTGATGTCATGGTCACGTGCCTGGGGGTAAATGCCCTTTGAGCAGACCTTAAAACATCATCCACAAAAATAAGACTATTAAAATATTAACTTAAGAACTTTTGTAACCTCCTTGTTTCGAAATTCATAAGTAAAATTTTGTGAACTCTCACTCTGCAAGCATTGAAAGAAAATTTCCAGCTAAAAGCAGTCTTTCGGATAAATCAAAAAATTGCTTTAATTAAGTGACGTTATAAAACTTGTTTTATCCAAGCGTGCCTCGGAGAGAGTTTTTATTCAAGCAAGTAGTACTTTGTAGCCCCACTGACCAGGGAAGGTAGGCGCCTAGTGGTCCGGAAATAGCCTTAGCACGATGCAGCACAGCACAAAATTTAGGATGCGAGGCGGGATGAAATGCCTTGGCAGCGGTGAATTCGCGCTCCACTTGGCAGATGACTCGAAGGAGGTGGACTATCAGCTTCACCTCCTCCATTCCAGGCGTGCTCACGTCCCCGTGGACCATGGCTACGAAACACACGCCGTCGTTTTCGAACCCGCCTGTTTTCGGAGTGACAGCATGTACATGATAAAAAGCCGAACGTTCACTTGTTACTTGTAAACGAGAAAGTCCAACTTGAAATTTTCAAATATTTTGCAAAATGGTGTTAACCCAAGTCCTAGTAGTTTTGATTTTTAACCTTAATCGTGGTAGCAATTTCGACTGTTCTGGTTACCCTGCTGCGTCGTTGCAACTTTGGGAAAAAATGACCAGACTTTTTAAGACTGTAGTGAATAAAAACTCCTTAATAGCCTAGCAACGCAGATTTGAATTACCATGTCGTAATTTGCTACTTGGTTCAGGCGAATGTAATTTGACTTGCATTGTTTGAATGCATTCACACAAGGTCTGAGGCATGCCCATTCAAACAGACTAGCGGAACTCAAAATCACGACAGACTTCAGGAAAGTTTACTTATCACTTAACTGGTGAGAACAATGCTTCGTGCTTGCTCTTGTGGCCATATCATAAGGTTTACCATAACATCATACTCTGAGGAGGTACTAAGGCAACTTCGACTGTTTCATTTGTGTCACTTTAATGGCTGCGCTTCTTGAAGCAGGCAGAAACAAGAAATGAACAATTGTATTTACTTCACAGACGGTACTTGATAAAATAATTCTTGGTGGCTAATTCCAATCCTACTCCTCGTTGCTCGATTATGACTTTAATTCGCCAAGCTGTCCCGTCTCCCACTGCATTACGTCTGGCAGTCTACACCCGTGTCATTAAGCAAATGATACTCCATTTGGCGGCGAGCTTCAAACGCAATTTTTCTCCCAAATCACAGTGCGTATGAAATAGTGTGAACGTTTCCATGGAAGAATTGTTATTTCAATAACATTTGTGCACATGCCTTTTGTCCATAATTTATGCTGGTGTCTAAAATAGAGGAAATTTTCTATATTACCATTTACCGATACTAAAACCTGTCTCGGAGGAAGCTTGACCACAGTAGTCCAGTTGTTCCAGTACTCTGTTCAAGGCTATGCAACTCAAAATTTAAAAACTGTAAATGTTTGACAAAAGTAATTTTTGGTTCAATGGAAAATCCGACCGATCAGTTTGCGATACAAGTAGATTAAAATGGCTGTCATAAACTGCCATAAACGTGTTGATGGTAGTAACCGTGTTAACGGTATGAATGCAGGCGAAGTGCAGGTGCAAGTGTGATAAGACGAAGAGGCGATTTGCCACTCACCAGGGGACGCCAAACACCTCAACAGAGGGTCGTTTGCGTGCTTCTCGGCGATCTGCTTCAAGCACTGCAGCTCGTGCAAGACCTACAACCAAAGTGAGGCTTCAAAGGTAACTAGAAAATAAAAGAGCTTTGAATTGCGGAAAAAAAACAATGGTTAGTACTTTTGTGCACTTTTTACTTGATCTCAATCGGAAGCCCCTAAGGGTAAAGGGGAAAATACTTTTGAATGGATTATAAGGTCAAGTTAATTCTATCAATTCAAAGGAAAATTTGTCTTACCAAAGTAGCGATCAGTGAATATTGACTCCTTTATTGCCCTTTTACCTAGAATTTTAATGGGCAGAATGGCGGCAGCAGATGGACCATAAACCTAACCAAGAGTGGATTACTTAACACACCGTTATTTCTTCAGCCGGTGCTGCATTTCCATGCGGTGGTTTTGCCCCTTTACAATAGCTCTTCGGCTCCAGGATGAAGCGGGAACATAGCAAAATTGTGTTAGGGAGTTCCACTTACTTCATTTAGAAAAAGGCTTTTCGCTCGGAAATTCAAAGAGGGGGTATTTTGGGTTATTAATCTTTGATTACATACAGCTTTCCACCAGAAAGAAAAATCATGTTTTACTCATTTTGAGGAAGAAAGTTTTTTGCATTGACGTCACCAGCATTGATCCTCTTAAGCCGAAGGCTACCAACTTATCACGAATTTACATATCACTTATTCACAAAACCTTAATAAGAAAATGGACCGTTCAGCGACAGCCTGCTCAAGAATTTAATTAGAATTCATTGAATTAACAAGTGGGAAGCAACTAGACCTACAGTTGTTTCATCTGCCAACGCGGCGGATTGAAGGAAAGCCTGGTCCAGACTGACCACGGCGAGGAGGACGTCCTGCGGCGTCGCGACTGTAGACGGGGTCAGTGTACCTGTCACCAACCCTTGGCTGTAGTCGCGCGGGAAAAGTCGGTCCAGTTTTTGGCACATATGCGCCTTCCTCTTGGCCACCTCTCTCTCTCGCAAGGCGCAGCTGGCGTCCAGGTCAACTAGTCGCCTTTTTAAGCAAAATCTTAATTTTTCTTCAAGACCTGGTTCATTGCTAATGGTAAGTGTGAACTAAGCGTGGATTTCCTAGCTTTGCACTTAACCTGGTTATAAAAACATCGTATATATTAGGCCGTTAAAATTAAGATTTTGCTCTTTCGGCTTACTCCTCAAAGTAATATGCTTAAATCCACTTTTAGCGGTAGGCACTAGAAATTATGCGGCCATTTGTTTGATGGTAGTCACCTCCAAAGAAATTTCAGCCAGACTTACGCGACAGCCGCTCGGATCATGTGATGGGCGACAGATCGCTCCTTGGGCACGAGGCTTGCCAGGGTCTTGAGGATGCTACGAAAACTGGGTCTCTGTTTTTCCGAGTGGTCTACACACGACTCCGTCGCCTCACGTATCTTCAAGAAAGAAACACAGCAAAAGGAAAGAATCCTGAGATGCTTATATTGTTAAGCAACGCTTTAACATCTTGAAGGTGTATCTTATTTGTCAACGTTTTCTACAGCAGTTAAGTTGGTTTGCATGTGTAACCAGTGGAACCTTCAAATGTGTCATTTATTTTGAGAAGTCCCTTTTTAAGTAAGTACTCCTTTCTGTCCTGAACACGTTTCAAACGCGATTATTTACTAAGCTGAGTTAGTACAAAGCCTTCACTTGTCTCCTGTATGACTTGGTGCAGCATTTATCATTGGCATGTACCGACTGGAGATGGTCCTGTTTCAGACCACTTCTAATTCATCCCATAATCTCAGGTATCTTGATTGAAAAAACAAAAGCACTGAAATGTCTATGTAATTATAAACACGCCAGCCTCACTGGCCGTTCCAGCACATTTGAGACTTGGAACATCCAAGAGAAAATTTTTCTTTTTACAAACACCGAGGTAAGTGTAAATGCTGTGGAAACTCTATAGGAAGAAAAAATTTTAAAAGGATTGCAAAAAACTTATGCAGATTACAGTTACTTTGAATGATGCAGACCTTAAATAATCACTTGAGTCAACAATTAGCTCCACTCATCGCTTAACACCTTACGTGGAAATGATTGCCCATTCAGTACCAAAATGAACACGAAAGTCTGTAGTTCCGGACAACAGTGCCCGGTATATTTGGGAACAAAAAGTGCTTGACAATAAAAACGCATCATTGGAAGCTGTTACGAAATTCTTACCACTTTTTAAGCAGCTGAAAGTTGGTAGATAGAACCTCATAGACTGAAAGGGGATCCAAATGCGACGTCTTGAATGCTCGCGGACTGTTTTATGGTGACAGATAAGAAGTTTTATGCAAAATTGGCAGCTTTAAGGTTTGTCTTGAAGAAAGACAAATTTGATTAAAGCTTATTTACTCAACTTTGTTAATGTACAAAATAGAGGCACGTAATACCGAATGGGAAACTTGTTACGTGTTTAAATTCTTCTTCTTTCACCAATGACTTGCAATTTATTTTCCACTTAACCTTTACGTGGTTGTTATTAAGGAACCACTAAACAGCATCATGTTCCACCTTACAAAATAATATAAGCGCCAAAATTTACTAACTTTCGAGGGCATATTCGGTGAAATGGAGAGTTTGCAGACTTTGTTGCAAATGGCCTCTGCGAGTTGGTAATCACGTTGGTAGACATCAAGTGCAGCCTGAAATGGCACCTCTAGATTCCATATCTCCGTAAGAATCACTCCAAAACTATAGACGTCGCATGCCATAGATTCGTACTCACTCCCGGTACCCTCTTCCGCATCTGTGTCCACCGGTTCGGTGGCTCTGCCCCGCTTCGTTTCCGCGTGGTCCCGCCTCGAAAGAATGTTATCTATTGTTCTTGCACTTCTGTGTGCTGTAATAAAGCTTTTTAACTGAGCTGGTGATCTCCACACTAGTCTTAAGTGTTCCGGTTGCCAGCAGATTCTGAGACAGCACCGAGAAGAACCCCTATTTGCACTGTGTTTGTTGTAAAAGGACTCTGATTGAACCAGCTCCTCTACATTTTGCCAACAAGCAATTTTAATTACCCACCGGCTATCCAATAGACAAGTGAGACTAGAAAGTCTTCCATGGATGAGCTTTTTGCTATGGAGATAGGCCATTCCGGAGGCAATGTCCGAAGCCAGATTCAACTTTATCGATTGAGAGACTTCGTACTGTCCGCTGTGAAGCAACTCAAAGAGGCTCCCACGGACGCAAGGCTCTACGATTATGTAGTAGATCCAGGGGAGGATAAAATCTGATTCGGAATAACCCTGCATCACAACCCTAGCTCCTCGTTGTTTTTTACGCATTCCTTTCAAATGTGCTGCAAGGATGCTACACTGTATTTTATTCTGGGTTACAGAGGACTTGGCTAGACCATAGAATAGCTGAACATTTTCGTGGTCTACAGCGGTGTACTTCTGCAACTTCAGACGACCCTTCTCCATAAACTTCATGGTTGACCTGATATTTGTTGGTTTGAGAAGAACATCCGCACCCTTGTATTGTCCACTAACAGGTGTGGTCGAAAGAATTGAGTCAGCATAGACCCAAGTGTTGATGGCACTTTTCCCACAGTTCTTCGAGGCACAGTACGGGTTTGAGGTATTGCGATCAGAATTGTTCTCGAATGCATATTCAAGAAAGGCAGCATTTTTCATTTCAAAATCATGAAGAGACGTTTGAAAGGCGTCAGAATTGTCAGACGGATCCATCTTCTCAATGTCGATTATGTATTCTGAGATGGGATGGCGATGCGAACAGAGGTAGTAAGTGAGGACGACTGAAACCACAAAGAGAATTACGGCTGTAGTAGAGAGAGTGAAAACGACGTCTCTATAGTCCTCCTTCGAGTCCACAAAATGCCCCCAAATACGGCTTCTACGATGTGTTTCCTCGTTAGCAAGTTTCTCCGCCGATACAGTGAGGTCTCGGCTATTGCGACAGGACATTTCGCTTAGATCCATCAACATATTCTCTCCTTTGATCTGACAAAAGCCATGAAATTTTAAAATCTCCTCAGAAGATTCAGAGGAGGTCAACCAGTGAAGGAATCGGTAGAGTTCAACTTGCAATCGGCATGCAGTACTAAAGCGCCTTAGTGGGTCCTTAGCCAGTACCGTGACGTTATATGGAGTGGCAGGTAGATCCTTTCTGAAAATGATGTAAAACGTGTAGACTAGGGGATATATAGCTTCAGATGGGTTTACACTGTCATTTTTGGATTTAGTTTTATTGCTTTCAACGCCGGAAACATTGACTGTAATTCCGTTTTGAAGTTGAAGCGAAATTGCCGTAAGGGAAGGGACAGTACCAAGGAAGTAAGCAATCGAGTAGGGCACGGAATTCACGAGACTAAAGCCCCCAGATGGTAGGATAGTGTGATAGACGGAAAGGCCGCTGGGGGCTTTGAAATCCTGCATAGAGCTCATCAGACCATACTGTAGCTGCCATATGCCGGAGGAGTTGCAGAGAAATTCAGTAAGCGCAATGTTCTCACTACAATTATCATCACGCAGAATCAGATGTATGGGCTGACCAATGAACGGTAGATCTGTAAATCACAAAGACAAATTAAATGAGCAAAATGTCAGGCTCTTCAATACACAAAACTTGCTCATGCGGTTATATTTTTAAGGGGTTTTCGCCCTTGCTAAAGAAACCCTCTGGTATGAAATCACCTTAATGGTAAAGATAAACACCGTTTAGCTGGTGGATGGTGGTATTGGTTTGCTTCACTTATTTTAATAAGGGATAACATATATGTCTTTTCCTATAAAACTGGATTATGGCTTCTACAGAAGGGTTTCGTATTGCAAGAAAGCTACACCTGGATTCCTTTGCCGTATTCGAATATCACTCCAATATCGCAGTTTCCCTGTGAATATGTCCGATATGTCACTGAGGCTGAGAGTAATTTTTACGTCTCTCGACAGCTCTGGCAGGTTGTAGTAAAATACAAGAGGTCTAAAATGAATGATGAAATGCATGCAAATACAGGTGAAAATTGAATAAAGTAAAAATATTTATGTAGGGGCAGCACTTCTTTAATTTTTGGACATCTCCTGCAAGATTCATGCAAGTGGTACGTTGGATCAAGAAAAAACTTAACGGGAGCTGAAATCAAAGCATGAATAATACATGATATCGCTGGAAAGGAGTAGAAGAAAATACCCAAAACTCACGCAAAGGCAGAAGGTAGAATGGAGTAGTTTGCAGAGACATCATTCGGATTCGCGGTGGAATCCGCTAGCAATGCCGACTGTTTCTCTAGGCTCTTTGACGGTGTGGAGGTATCAGTATGAGAAATAGCTGAGATTAATGGAACGATCTAAAACCGAAGACAGTTTGGGGTTTGATGGTTTTTTAACCAAAGATAAGACGAACAATATAGGCAGCTAGGCACATTTATAGTCAATATCTAAAGCAGTCACTACCTTACTTATTTGCGTTTATACTTTGAAGTTCGTTTCACCTCAAGCATAGACACTGAATACCGATCCGCCTGGGTGGTCATGTTGATAGGCTGTCTAGCCATAAGCCATCAAGGGAGAACGCATTAACACTAACGGCCTCTATGACGCAAAACATGTAAAAATTCAAACTTTGGAGAATTCCCCATGATGCTTTGATTTCGGACTAAATTTTGAGCTCAAATTAAGATACTTGAAACAATGTTTTAGCTAAATCTACGAAAGTAGTTGGTAAACAGATATATTGCTATACATTAAACAAGAAATTATTCCAAAATCAACATGAAGCCGATTTTTATGCAAACTTTTCACATCCACGATCACTGACCATCTTTTCAATGCACTTTAGCATGCCTAGCATGCTTTGGTGAACTGTAGTGAGGAGTACTATAAACTACCTAAATTAGTATTTACAGATATTATTAAGCATAGAATCAGAACTTAATATCAGTAAAAGCCTACAGTTAAGCGACTCCTCCAAATTTGGCCGTAGCTCTGAAGCAGTCTCTGCCACAGTAGACGGGTGTTCTCCGTTCCCGCGACAGCAAGAGGTAGGTCAGGAGGGTCTTTGTTCGCATCCACCTGAGTCACTACTATCAGACCAGCAAGGACCATTGAAAACATGTCCGCTAGTAAAACTGCAAGCAATCGGTCCTGGGTAGCTCTTTTGCAGCCCCAAGTTTACTAAATTCCTATTGGATTCGGGGGCGAGAAGGAATGTGAAGACGAGGCGTGTGGATTGGTGTAAATGGTCTGAGCGCACCTGCCGTACTGATGTGGACGAGCGGCGCAAAAAGATTAAGGCATTCCTGATGTTGGTGTAAAATATTTGATTCGCTTTAGCAGCTCGACCCCATATGTTTCCAGCGTATAACTAGTAATTACGCACAAGACGTAGTCATTAACCGACAAGTTAGGGGATTACGTGACTTTATTCGTCATGCAAGAGACGAAAAACCCGGTAGTACTTAACCTCATAACTATTTTATATGAGTTTATTATAAAACCATAGGAAAAGTGACAATCTGAATGTAATTTATGCACTACATTGTTACAGAGGCAGCTGTTGCTCATGCGCTGATTTGGTAATTTGCGCAAATACGCAGTCACTTGAGTCTGAACGGATAGTACATCAGCTCCGCGGGTAGCCCTCAGGCCATGATGACAAAGCTTAGGCCCTCTTAGAAGTAAGTGATACTTAATTTTTACAGTGCATTGACTTTTACGTTCATAGGTAAGGCGTAGTTGCAGCTAGTGGGCCTAGTAACAAATGAATGTTGCCACAACCAGCAGCATTAGCCGTCAAAGCAGTGTTTGTAGCCGTCTTTTTCCTATTTATAAAAATAATTGCAATAAGGCTATCAAAAAATCATTTCAATAATTTTGTAAGACCAGCCTACCTTAATAAGCAGTAAAATTGCGTATTTACTTATGTTTCTGGTGCCCATTAATACTCTGCTCAAAATAGTTTTTTAAAGATACTTTTAAACAAAATTTTTACGAATAATACGATTGTTTAAGATAAACCTATTTTTTAGTAAACGGCGTGAGTGGTAGCGCCTTGTTTCAATCGATCAGTTATATCAATCATCTAACCAGTTGCAGTAGCAAATATTGCTTTTAGGTCACGCGCCTGGAGAACAGTCAATGGTTTCCTCAATTTCTCTAGCCCATAATTTTATAATAGGCATTTAACAAAGAGCTTGCACTTGGCATTCTTTCAGTAATTGGTGGAATACTAATTCATTTCTCCTATGGACACTTTTACACCATTGGTAAGTATGACCTTGCGTCCTAACAAGATAAGGCAACCTCGCTCCCTACATGATGTCCTATTTGAAGCAACGTGTAGACGCAAATGTTGACCCCGGCTCAGCTGTATGGATTTCAGCCATTGCTTTGGCAATGCAAGGCATTTCCATGCCCCTAGGAGGCGCGATTTTACCAAAGATTGGCTACAGAGCTGTGGTCATCATAGGATCCATGATAAACAGTGGCAGTGTTCTGCTCACCTATTTTACAATTCAAAAAGGCTTTGTCTACGTTGTTATAACCTACGCTGTTATGCTTGGTTTTGGATTTGGTCTATCCTATGCCATCATCTTTTCCGTTGCTGGATCGGTACTGTTATTCGTATAATTAACTAAAGTCGTTTTAATTTTTGTTTAAAATCACTTTTTTGGAATATTTTAGTGGTTTCCTAAACGCAGATCTTTTATTGTTGGTTTAATCGTTGGCGGATTTGGTCTTGGTGCACTTGTATTTACGCCTATCCAAACCGCGTACATAAATCCTAACAATACAATGGTCGGCAATGTTTCTAAGTAACGCATAATAAGTGCCGTAGCAATTAAAGTTTTTGGTTAGATTGGCAACGTTAGAATTTCTTTTTTAGACTTTTTGAGGAAGAAGCTCTCCTAGACAGAGTTCCGATCGCTTTCTTGCTGCTCGGTGGTTCACTTGCGGCTCTCCAATTAATCGGTATCTTACTTCTCAACCAAAAACCGCAACCTAAAAATAAGGTGGTTTTTGTAAAAATCCAAGACTTTTTTGTTCATATTATTTTAAAGGTTACTAATGTGAATGTATCCCATTTCATTTCAGCCAAGTGCACAAGAAGATGGTCGAAACACTAAAACTGTAAGTTTACTTTGCTTTAAGCTTTCTATGTTGAAACATGATTTTAAAAATATGTATTTTTTGTAAAGGAACTGAAGTCTCTAATTCAGTCCGGTGATACAGAGAAGAATGTCGAACTAAACGATGCTGACACACAGGAGACTGAGTGAGTTCTCGGGTATCGAGCTTAATTTTCTGTGAATTGTTTTTTCTTAACCAAACCGATAATTATTTGCTTTAGTGACAACGCAAAGAAACTTGCGTATCGCAGGAGTCGTTTCTCACTGGCTCAGGCGCACACCCACATTAAAGACTTTGGCCCGGAGAAAGACGGGCAAAAATCCCTCACCTGTCCACTGTAAGAAAAAGTGGATTTTTGATGTCGTTTTTGCTTTTGTTAATTAATGCATTATCAAAATTAATTTTATTGTTTTGTCTGTGATTTGTTTATTTGAAGGGCAGACTTATATGCAAAACTTATTGGTATTATTGGAATCCTGTCTGCATAATTAACCACTTAAGTGCAGGATTGTTGTTTTTTGGGCGAAACCCTAAATACTTGAAATGGTAAGAATCAAAATTTTCCCATTAATTGGTTTTATTTTGTTATTCTTTGCTGAAAAATAAATGCCACTACGTATTGCCTTGCATATGCGATTCTACTGGAGATTTCTTTATTCTTTGAGAACCTCAAGTTTAAATGAGTAAGTCAGTATGCTTGAATATAGACGGCACAAAAACTTCCTCAAGATATTTTTACTGTCCGCTTTTATACGACTAAAATAACAAAACCCCAGTGTCCGACTTGCTTCTTCATCAAACGGTACTGTAAATATTTAGTTGAAAATATCAGCACATCGCAGTTGTTTCGGTTTATTCAGTTGCTAAATCTGTTACTTTTTAACTACTGCGTCCTTCACCACCTCAATAGAAGCCTAGAACAGCCTGATATCCTTTTTTAACTGCAATCACGCACTTAGTCATAAACTTTTAACCCGACTTTTGGAAATTTGTAGCAAAAAACATTGACGTGTAGCTATCACTAGTAGCTATAGCATTCAGAAGCATTACTGGATGTCACAAAGTGGATTAGTTTAGCTTTCATCAAACAGTTGAGGAATGACCTTTTATGTATCACAAGTCAGTCGTATCTGCGATAATATAGGACAGGTCCGAAAGAATTTAAATCTCACCGTTTCCGAGATCAAAATATTTTGGAGAATTTTTGACCAAATGTTAAGTATTTTGCTGCACCAAAGTGCTAAATTGTTTAAGTAACTGGGATTAAGCTGGTATTTGGTTGTTTAAAGAGGAATGCCCGGTTTACTACACCGTGGAAGGAAACTACACACCCTAAATCATATATTTATGCAAATATAACTACCTTTTTTTAACGTGATTCTAATTTAAAAAAGAGTACGATGATTGTAATGGTAACTCAGACCATTCCATGCAAACTTTTAGCAGTTCTGAATTAAAAAGGGAGGATTGATGCTTTCTTTGCCTTGTACTGGGTAGTTGCTACATCCGTGACGTACTTAAGTCTTGTCAGCCCTACAAAAAAGTTAAAATAAAGCTTTAGAATATTCTCTTTGTAGAGTATGCGGCACTTTTGTTATCACTTTTGGCTCCATAGTCTTTTTAATCCGGTCTCGATGCCACAGGCGTGTAATGGGTATGGTTTTTTCTTGGCCGCTATAACGGTTCACACCAAATTATGCGTCATAAATGCATTAATTGGCATGAAGATTAGTTTTAAGATCTCCTCGGTCTAAGGTTAGTTACTTTGTCAATTTATAAGTTGTATAACCGAAGGTTGGTTTAAAATCGATGGCAATTGGCAAATCGTTTTTTAAGATTTAGTATTAACATTAATGGAGAAGTTAAATAGCTTTTGCGTTACATAGGCAGCCAGTAATGCATCCTGGCCGTTAAAATTGTAAAATTCATTATCAATCCGATAAATAAAGTATTCGCTGCTTTATTTTTAAAACCTGGGATTATTTGATTTTTCGGTTCTTTCTACCATGACAACAATTGCATCATGTTGCGGCTTCATGACCCTGATTCACTACTGATTTTCATTCCCAAATGCCAGATCAGATATAAGTCTACTTGCCTATTTAGTTAGTTTTCAGTGGATTTGACCGATTACTCAAAAAATGGCTTCTTAGTTCTTGGTTTACCATGGCTCGCACACCTTATGTCTACCAGGCGCAACACCAAACCTCAATTACTGTTGCATTAAAAACTTAAATAAAGGAGAAAAAAGCACGCTTTAATTAATTGACAGGAAGACCAAATTTTACTGCCCGCAGATGCTTTAGTCGCATTAACAAAACGGTGGAAATTGCAGCATTTTTGGCTAGTTTTCGCACCGATTTTCAAAAGATTCGAATTAGTTTTTTTCAAATTTGTTGGGATTGCGCAAAATGTGCAGTCCGTATACCTGATACTTGATGCTTACGTGATTACAGTGAATGTGCTCGACATAAAAAATTGCAACAATTTAAAGCACGCAGAAAACCAAAGCAAATCAGTGGGAATTCCTTCCACGAAGATACTAAAAATAAGCACGCGTGGATGTCAAGTGGAAAAAACTACTTTCTTTGATATCAATTCTATGCTGTTAAACAGACACACAGGGAGTTTTCTCGATGTGTCAAATTGGCAAGGAGTCTACCGAAGACTTGTTACTGTTTTTATTACTTTAATGCAATTATTACCATCACCCACAAGCAATTCCTAGATTAAACCTTTTTCTCTATCTTTGACGTGTTAAGGTTTTCGGAGGTCAGCCACACCTACTCTCTTCACCATTAAATGAAATTCTCGCGAAGGAGTGTAGCGATCCTGTTTAGCATGTGGGACTTCTCCCCACACCGTTCAGACGCTAAAAAAACACTGACAAGTGGTATCCGCTGAGGGAAATTTAATTTACATTTTTAGGCAACCATCAACATCCTACTTCTTTGGGATTTCTGATTTAAATTTTTTTACAATTTTTATTGCTTGTGAAGCAGCATTAATTACTATGACTTGAGTAAAAATTACTATTTAGATATTCCGAATTCATAGTTTTGATGTCTGCAAAATGAAATTCAGAACTTTCGCCATGAAGTAAGTTGAGACAAAACTCTCAACTTGATCATTAAGGATAGCCTTGGGTCCACCCTCTGCCTCCTCTTTTTCTCCGCGTCTGCGCGTCATTCCACACTGATCGCATTGATCCCCTGGCGGCCCTTAATGCGCACTTTGTTTTTTTTTTCGCTCTTTTCCATGGAGTTGTAAACAATCGGCACATTCGCTTTGTTGAACGGGTTTTTGCCCCATTAGAGCGGCAGTGGTTTCCGGCTTGTTTATTTCATTTTAAGAGCACTTAATTTTAAAGATCGACCAACTATTCATTTTTTTATTAATGAGTCATTTTATCTCTTACGCATTTATTAAGGTATACGTGTCAGGCCTGGTTCCTGCTAACTACCCTATTTTTCGTGAATTATAACAAGGCCCTTAACAGAGCAAACTTACAAAGCTTACCACTACTTTTTACATGTAGGCTTGTTTTTACTTTTTCCAACCTAGAGAAATTAACTATCCACCACTTCAAACACTGCGTCGACACGAATTCTACCTTCTCTGGATTGTGATGCTGAGCAACATTATTCCCATCACCCTTATTACAGCCTCCTTCAAGGTAAGGTGTCACTTTGATATTTTTTCAACAAAGTCAACCTTTTTATTCAACTGTCTTTTAATGCAATGTCCCTCCCATACGTCTAAAATGAAATAGACAACTTCAAATGCTGTGCTGGCACATTCGTCAATGGAACTTCAAAGTCATCAGACGTAACTTTTAGGATGCTCTATTGGCGCGATATGGCACCAAATATCACTTATTTTTTGTTATTCCTTCCTAATTTTCTCAATCAGGTGTGCCACAATCGCTAAATATATGCACAGAGCATGTCTTAATCACCTCCCTCTAGCTCATCAGCAGTGCTCAATATGAAAGCTCAGTCTACTAGTATTATTTTGATTTTAGTGTGCACATCTGTAAGCAGATGACTTAAGTTTGCGGGTCTTTAATTATTCGCTCATAAAATAGCCATGTACATCTTTAGCTCGTAGGCCAAATGCACATCTCGGACGACCGGTTTCTCTCCGGTGTAGCAACAGCTAGTTCCCTTTTTAACTCTGGCGGCCGAATCGCATGGGGAGCTGTGTGTGACAGATTCTCCTTCAAGGTACTCTCATACTTTTAATTTTCTTATTAGTAGCGTCTAAGTATACCTTGCGATAGTGCGCTACCTAATCAGGAGCCTTAAAAATTGAGTAAGGTTTACAAGTAGATGGTTTTTTTACTTAACTTCCCTGCGCTGTTTGGGTAGTTGTTGATTCACTGCTGCCGTAACGAAATAAGCAACCTGTGGATCTAGACATATGAAAATTAAGCTAGTGCTGTGTTTTACGGACCAAAATTATTCGACAATAAGCCTTTGACAGGTAATGGGCAGCTCCTTTCAAAATCTGTGATTTTGAAAGCACCTGCCTCGATTCCAATTAACTTTATAGCATAGAGCCAAAATTGCGAAAAAAATTGAAGTGGACGTAAATTTGGAATTTACTTTATTAAGTCAATATGGAAGCATTCCCCCATGTGTTTAAGGGAGATGATTATCCTTCTTAACTCACTACCCTAATTCCCTTTTTCACCATCCTCGTTTTAAAATTTAACAATCTTGGTGTAGTGCACCAAGACTTCCCTAATGGCAAAACAAGGACCACACTCGGGCAGGATACGTATAATTGACGTACAGAAGAATTTGGAGGGGAGGAAGGCTAACGGCAGGGTTCGAAGGCGGGGCGCCCGATGGCTGAACAATGGCGAGCCCCTAAGTGGCCTGTTACCAAGATCGAGAATTAAGTAAATAATTGGGGTATTACACTTAGCCTTGATGCTTAAAACTATAAAGCAGTAGTTGTTGCTCCATGTAATGACAATAAAGGTGGGTTTGTAAGAACTCCTGCACCGCTTACACTGTTCGAACGGAATGTTGTATGATAGTACTTGTTCACTTCCCCCACCTTCCTTCCTTCCTTTGCATCACTTAAATGACTCCGTGCGAGTTTTAGATTTTTCCTCACTTCGCTTCATCTCTGCCAGTTGCGAACCTTCTGCGGAAAGTGTGGTGTGAAAATGTGGTTATTGGGCTGAATTAACTTGAATTTGCGCCTAGACGGGCGGACAGGACTACTAGGACTGGATGGGCTCTAGGCTGGCACGTAGCGAGAGTCAGCAGTGATTGGTGCGCCGGAGAGAGAGTAGTGAAATTCCATGTCAGATGCTATCAGCCTTATTAAGATCTTTTTTGCATGAAATTTTAAGGCAGAGCTAACAAATAGTAACTTCTAATTAAATAGTGAAGCCCGAATGGCATTCCATTTAATCTTTTACGATTCATGAACGTTTCTGTCTATAAGTAGGGATAAGTCTAAATTGTTCCATGACTACCTTAAGCGTAAACCATTGAAGAAGAAATATTGAAATACTTCCTCATATTCAACGTTTAATGTGTTTTTAATTCCTAGACAAGCATTTTTTATGTAAACATGGGGAAGACCTTGGATTATGCTAACAATCACTTTAAGGAAATGAAAATAAAACTCCAACATTTAATTGAACAAATTTATTTTAAGCGGTGTAGCCCTGAAAAATGATTCAAAAATACTGCTGAAAGCAAACTGCAAACACTTTTTTTGCTAAGTAAATGGAGTGACCCCTAAAATCACCTAAGGGAATAAGCGAATCCTCACCGTGCACATTTCATAGTCACTCATTTCATGCATTCGCCTTAATCTCCCCTGTGTCATTTTTTTCTTGTATTGACATTTTCATTTTCTCCTTGTAGTAATGGTTCCGAATAACGTGGATTAGTTTACAGCAGTACGATGTTCTCCTTCTAGGGGCCGCTGTGCCTAATGCTCGCTACGTGGGCTACCATCCTCTTCACCTTCCCCTACGTCGTGGCCATCAAGACGGGCTCAATGGCCATCTACGCTGTTTGGGTGTGTCTCCTCTTCCTCTGTCTCTCTGGTGTCTTTGTCCTTATGCCCGCTGCCACTAGTCGCATTTTCGGACCCACCTATATGGCCGTGAACTATGGGATGATCTTCAGTGCTTTTGTGAGTCTTCATCTTTTGAGTCGATTACTACCTTCGCAAATATTATAAGTAGTATTGGTTTTTAGTGAGACTATCCAATTTAATGCCTGCCCTTTAGCATTCAGGGTGTTCTTACTCATTTTCTCAATTAACTTAGGTGACATTTAAGTTGAAAATGCATATTCGTCACCGGAACGAACAATCGACTTTAATGAATAAATCTTCCATCTTGCCATACCCTACAGCTCGGTTTCCTCTTCTCACCTATCATTTCGTATACATTTCTGACAACAATTTTCTGGGAGTCACAACTAACCGCTTTTCCACGTTCTACTCACTTTTGTTAATTGAAGTATATTTTTTTAGCCATTTCAGACTCACTGCAACTGGGGTGTTATTTCGATCCTTATTCTGGCAAATTGTCCACCTCTAAATGCAAATTTTTCGGACAGTATGTGTAATCTATCGCAAATTAATGTAGTTTCTTCAGAGTCATGCACTATAACTTGGTCTTTAGCACCCTCGTGAGGATCCTATCTTTCCCCTTCTATCCTTATTTTCTAAGCACGTTTATTGTATATTTTATTCACGTTACCAACAATTGATGAATATTTGTATGCAGAACATTTTTTTCTTTATTTGTCATCTTATTGTCAGGCTTATCACGCGTTTCGTGATTTTCAGAATGAACAATGCCCTTCTTTCTGCTCATATTTTCAGCTAGGGTAGAGGTTTGATAATGGATTGTCCCTTAGATTTCTGCAGACCTTCTGGTTTCCGGGGTGCATTAGATGCTCTATAACTCTTTTGTGAGGTTATTATTCATTTTTTTTGAGGATTTCTTAAGCATGCAATCTGTTTGATTTGAATATTTTGAAATATCCCTTTATTTACCTGTAGTTCTTTTTTGTAATAGCGCTGCTCCAACCATTTAAAAATCAAGCTATCACTATTTAAGTAACCTTTAGGCTCAAATAGAGCCTGTCCCCTCTCTTACTTCTCTTGGTGCACAATGTCTTGTTGAGGATTTCATTCTTACATTTCGGTCAAATTTGGCTTTCAATTCTTACAAATATAACCATTTTATCAATTATTCTGACCGCTTAGTGAGTTTAAGAGCAAAGATTGGTTCAATGATATACTTGGCCATCATCTGCGCTTTGGTCTGCAGTGCTTGCAGGAATCGCATCCTCACACCTCCTCCCATCGTGCAGTATTCAAGCTTACCCTATTCAAGCAGTTCCTCCCGAAATCCTCACATTTTCTAATCGAATTTTATTACTGGTGCTCAGCATGCCCTAATTCATATCTCTACACTTAATTGTACAATTACGTTATCGCTTTACTGCTGAGATTGCTACACTTTTGTGGCCTTCCAGCTTAAAATGTGCTTCTAGTCATGCTCATATTATTGACCAAAAACAGCTCAGATTTCTCCTATTTCTCTTGGCTATAATTCGCCATTTATGCAACTCGTGTCCCGGTGTATTGATCACTGAGATTCGGGAAGGGTGGTCGGAAAAACAAAATGAATGCTCTAGATAACCATCATTCATGGCACAATCCCTCTTCATTTGTCATTTTGTAATCAAATTTAAGCAGCATTTGTTGGTTTTTTTTGGTTGGTTCTGGGTACATTTTAGATTGCTATATTCTGCATTCCTGATAACTGTTCTGCTATCATCTGCGTCATTTGTTATTCTGTCGTGCTATTGTCCGTTATGTTAGTCGTCTAGTTGGTGTAGAAGGCGTACCAATTTCCCAAATAACGATTCTGCGTGCTTTTAAATTAAAAGCTGCATTCCTTTGCTCGAATCTAGAAAAACGTTTGGGAAGACATGGTATTTATTCCATCCGAGGGAAAGGAGGAGGAGGGGTTGTTACTTCTGTTGCCTGCTGTTACTGCTTTTCTAAATTTTCGCTACTTGGCCCATTCCAACGTCATTCCAGAAGACCGTGTGAACCATCAACAGTTCACTTTTTTCTGACAAAATTTTAGATTCTACTAATTTTTGGGAAAATCCTAAAAAGATGCGAAAATTTGTCTCAAGATGCGAACTCACCCTAATTGGCAGTAATTTTGGCGACACCTCGTAGCGTTAATATATCCTCTAAGTTCGATTTCGAAATAGGAATCTTACTCTAAAAGAATGCTTAAATCCCCGCTGTTTTAAAATTAGATCATTTTGCATTGAAGCTTCACGAGGGTAGGAGTGATCAATGTCTGGTTATAAAGTTTGATTATTCGGAAGGCAGCCCTAAAATTAACGGTAATTTACACTTAAAGCAAACATTTTTTCACAATCATTAGCAATCAGAAGGGTAAGTGCACTTTTTTTTACTTCAAGCAGATTAAATTTGCCACATCTAATTTGTTCTGAGCGCAGAGTTAAATGAATGGTGTCGTAAAGGGCGAAATCAAGTTGTCCTTTTAAAACATTGTGAGAGTTCATTGTAAACAAATATTCCCAGCAGTACGAATTCCTCTAAAAAGAGAGGCTTACAAGTGCAATTTATGCAAATTCTGTGTTCGGCTGGAATTTGCATTCCATTTTTCATTCTGTCGAGCAATTGTCCGTAACCTTGGCCAGCTTGTCGGTATATAGGGCGGACAATTTTTCCAACTAATGAGTCTACGTGTCTTCAGATTGGAAGAAAGATACCTGCTTAAAGTGGTGTTTGAACCTTATAAAAATTCAGGAAGAAGGAACATTGTAGTTATTCCATCCAGAGAAAAGGAAGACGAGAGTTTGTTGCTGCCGTTACTGCTTTTTGAATTTGAGCTAAGTGCCTTATTCTAATGTCATTCCAGGGGACTGTGTAAAATGCTAACGATCAACGACAAGCAGATAAAATATTGAATTTTTACTACCTTATTATAAAAACTCCAAAAAGTTGAGGCAAAATTACTTTGTTTTTACACTTTAGGTGTGAACTATGCGTTCTAAGGGGAAGCTGTTTAAGGAGCATTGGGTCGAACTCACCATATTTGGCAATACCTCATCGTGCTGTTGTGTCTTCAGGGTGCGGTTTAAAAAGAGCAATCTTCTCTTAAAGTTCCCAGGGAATTCTTAAATACTGCTGCTTAAGGTCGAGTCATTTAATATCGATGTATCACGGAAATAGAAATAAAAAATTTTTTTATCGTGACTAATCGGAAGGAATTTTTAAAAAGTAATGGTGATGTACACTTAAAATGAAAATTTCCCACGATCTGCTACCAGCAGGGTAAGAGTGCATTCCCTACTTGGGACAGTTTGGATGGATTAAGTCGGATTCGTTTCGATTGCAGAGGTAAATGTATATTTCCCCGGACCTCAAGTGTGTCATAGGTGGGAAAAGCAAATTATTCTCTTAGGAATAGAGGAAACGGTTAGACAAAATATTTATGGTGATGGAGATTTGTCTTGAAGGAGAAGGTTTTAAGTACGCTTTATTGAAAGTAGTTTTTTTGTAAGGAGGATTAGTTGTATTTTTGTTGCCACTTCTCATAGATCCACCTAGGTGAAGCAAGCATTACAATTCTTATTTGCTACAAACTTCAAAATAAATTTCTTGCCTGCACATTCCAACTTTTCCTGTATTATTTCACCGTTAGTTGATTCCTCTTTTTCCCTAATACTTTCCACACCGGGATAGTCTTTGCGGGCTGTAGAGGGACGCCTTTTAACCTTTTTTTCTGGACAAATGCACAAATTATCCTCTCAAAGTGATATCAACAAGTATTTTTAATGACCTTTTTTGTTTAGCCACATATACACTTGATCTTCCCAAAGGATTTGTGAAAGTTGTGATTACAACCAACGCCAGGGTCCCTTTAAGGAAAAATTTGTCGCTGGAGCTCAAGTGTTGCATTTCTTAAAATAGGACACCAACACCTGCACTACCGAAATGAATAATTCGACAACTGTTTGCAAACTAAAATATACAACTCTTCTCAAAATAAAAATATTTTACAACCGCTTCATCAATTTTAATGCCTGACCCAACTCGTTTGCGATACAATTCTGCGCAACACTTATCCATAAAACCACGAGGAATATGTATGTCACATATTTGTGGCACTATTTAAACACATTCGTAACTTCTTACAGCGTGGAACTTTTCACGTTCTAGTCCATCGGTAGCATCATTTGTGCTGTCATAAGTGAGAAGCTGAAGGGCCACTGGACTCTCCTCTACGGCATTTGCGGCAGCATTTGTCTCTTCGGTAAGTTAAAACTGAAAAAAATGCCGCTGTGTTAGGCAGGGAATGCACTTAAGCCCTCAGAATTTTTTGAATACTTAGGTACTTTTCTTCTACAAAATTAACGCTTTTCTGCGTTAAATGAATTCATATTTTTTTGTGATCTTCAAATAAATTTTATTGTAGACCTAAAAATACTATTTGGAATCTACAACTACAATGCCTGTATCATGAGCTACCTTTTCTCCTTAAGTCTAGAAACTTCACATTAGGGTAGAACATCTCCACAGCCAAAAAAATGGATTCCTCTCTGTTCAGTCGCCTTGAATAAAGTGTCAAACGTGTTGCAATGACACCATGGTCAATGAGCGATTTCACCAAATGTTGGTTTGTGAAAATGCGGTTGTTTCGTTGTCATACGGAAAAAAGTGTTAAATATAAGTTTTGAAAAAAACCAGCGGATGTTTCTCTGACTAACACTCCACTGGTTATTTCTTATTTAGCTCTATTCATAACATTTTGGATTGTGGATCCCTTCATTGCCAAGCGCGCAAACGTCTGTTCTCCTTGTGTAAGTCTACTTCAAAAGCTTCAGCCGCGTGTTCCCATCGCAGAGCCAGAATCCGGACCGACGACATCCACTGCGTGAAAACGTCTTTACCGCCCGCACATTTACGCTTTGCTTCGACCTTGATGTGATGGTCCCCTTTCCCCCCTCCTCATTCTGTACACTCTAGTTTATCTATTACTGTCATCACCTACTGTCATCTGCTCCTCACCTCGTTCCTTTAATTAGCACTACAGCAGCGTTTTGATCATTTCCCGTCTTCCGTCTGCTTTTACCTTAGTCATTTGAGGATGCTAAGCCAGCCGCCTCATGCGCTTTTGCAGGCCCATAGCAAACCCGATGATTGTTTACCTCATTGACTTACTTTTTCTCCATTACTCTACGTAATTTCTTCAATAAATCAACTACTTTTGATTGAGACTTCATTTCTTCATTTAATTGTTTTTACGTATCCAATACTACGGTATAGATTATAAGTTGAAAAATATTCCGAACAGCTCACAATTCTAAGACTGTTCTAAATATTTAGCACATAAAGCACCAAAGTGGGGAATGTTGCCGTTGCTCTCTCTGTTTACATAGAGCCAATATGTGAGCAGCCATTGGTGCATCTACGTCCCTAGAGGATTTTCGTACGGAAAATAACATTTAGTCAGCAAAAAGGACTTTAAACGCGGCTTGTAAGGCTGTACGAAATCAACTTAGCCTCAAGCTGAGCTCTTACCTTAGACGAACAGACACTTAGAATCGCATGAAGGCGGTTCAGAAAATTCTACGCAAAATCCGGCCGTAACTCATCACCATGGCTCCTCATAAGTTAGAGACCTGTAAGAAGCTACACAATTCTATGGTCCTCCTATTTTTGGATTTCTGTTCAATTTTAGTTGAAATGGCGGTAATTTAAGTTCGACAGCTTCATAACCGGCGATGGTATCAGCTCCAAAGCTGCGGGAACGCTGTGTACAGTCTTCATAGGATTTTGTGGAGGTGGAATCTGATTTTGTGATGATTAGCTAGACGTTAATGTATTTTGTTCAGAGAGACCCTTATCCCTCACCGTTACCAAAAAAGTTCATTCAAGAATGGGCTAATGTGGTAAGAGCAACTTCTCAGTACTGTTAAATCGCACGACGAAACATCTCGTTTCTATCTACATCACCTGGGACAGTAATAAGGGATAAATCAGTAGGTTTCATGCCCCGTGCATGGGCTCTTCGCTTCTCCCACGTATGTGATAAGAATGGACTGTTCACTTTGCATTGTTTGCTGAGTTACTGACTTCTGGATTTCATTCCAACATTCCTTAAGGGAACAAACAAATCATTAGCTTTATCCCAACATATCGCTCATCACCTATGCCACATTTCTAAAGCAGCACTTCACGCCTACGGGCTTGCGCTCGCTTCGCGTGTTGGGTGGACTGCGGACGCAACTATTCACTTTGAATGCCTTGCTGAGGGCCAAGCACTTACAATTGTGGTCCGCCTACTCAATACCATAAAATTTGAAGATGCAGAGCGAAACGACTTCCCTTTTTTGTCAGTTTCCTTCTTCCTCTTCCTCCTATTTCTCATCTTTGTCTTCTTGCGGAACAGGCAGTCATCCGGAGGAGTTTTATTTTTATTAGACGAGGAAGTGCACCACCTCATATAGCACACTGCCTTTCTCAAAACTCACCCTTATGATAATCACACATCGTACAATGAGGTGGGAGGCGAGGAGTAGGACACTGCCCCTTCCCCGGCTTCATCCTCCGTACAGACCTCAGAATACAAATTTACTGTGTAATTGTTACCCATTCCTGGTGCTAAACTATCACATAATCATAAATGAAATGGGCTGGACAGCTAAGAAATAACAGTGGGATAAAAATGTGTTGCTTCTTTCATTGTGATTTGATTTAGATTGTGCTCATAAGTTCCAAGGAATCTAACGAGTATACTCCTACCTTTATAAGATTAAAGAAACTCGTCTAAATTAAGTATTAAAAATAAAGTGACCTAAATTTTGAGTTCTGCTAGATTTTAAGCTTCTCGAAATTCGTCCTCGTTGCAAACAACGTAAAACCTTTTCGTGGTTAGGAGAGGTCTCCCTTCGTTGATTTCGTATAGATCCTAGTAGGTTAATTTTGTTAATTAGAAGCTGTCATATTTTCGTAAACCCTTGGGGTTCAAGGGTGAGTTACTTGTCGCAGATATAATACACTTTACCTTTTTAAATATAAAGCAATTGAAGAGAAGCACTAGCCAACGAAAATCTACTTTAGAGCTAATGTCGACCAAGTTATTGCAAACAATAATAACTACTTTAGACAGGCGACACTTCCACCCTCCTCAATGGCTTTCCTCCTCCCCCGTAAGACAATGGATTCAGCTTATGTGAACTCCACGTGCCTGCCTCCACTGTAGGAACAGCGGAGATGGGCAAACATATAGGAATCACAAGGCAGGCGGTTTGCTGTCCATACTGACAAGCAATCTGTTTGTATCTGCCGCACTGTTTATCTGAAAAAGAGGAAACACCTCATCCAACATTGCTGTGACATCGGTTGGGGGGAGGGGGTAACGTGTGTCGCATATTAGCCCAGAGCCCTAGCGGAACGCAAAGCCACAATCTCGAAAAGTTGCTAAAAAAATTGCTGTTGTTTCTAAAAGTGATTGGTCACTATGAATAATTCATATGGCTCATAGCTTAAATATCTGATTCGGTATTTAGAAAAATAAGCATTATAGCTGATTACTGTAGCGTCTTGCCAGATTAGAAAGCGCAAATCCAAAGTATCCTTCTGCAGCACTTTGTTCTGTAATTGCTCTTTGCGGCTTTAATTATAAATCTGATCTTTTATTTGGCTGAGCTAAATAGCTAGATTGCGATTTTAAATTTGCCAATTGCCGTCAATTCTATTCTATGAGGTTGGTTTAAAACTTCTTTCTTATTGTCTAAATGAAGCGCAATAACGCGGCGCACTTCAACAAATTCGGTCAGCATGAGACAGCATGTATCGTTCTCTTCATGAAAACAGATTTAAAACAGCCACTGGAACCAAACACTTTTGAGCCACATTCTTACCCGAGTTCTGCGTTGGGTAATACGTTGGCCGTTTGTTTAACTCTCCGTTTAAGTAATGGGACACTAAGGGGCTCCCCCATCGTACATCCACCTGAGGGGGCTTGACCTTTGGGCTGGGCCAGTACCACCCAGTCAACCCTGAGTGTTGTGTCTTCTTTCATCTTTGTGAAAGTCTTTGAACTCTATAGTTGTACCAGCCAGTCCTCCTTTAAACCGCAATATCAAAGGTGGTTCAAAAAGCCCTAACAAGAATCCCTTGCCCATGAATAGTATTTTTTTTTCTATTAATTATGATTTCAATGCATTTCTATTGTCTACTCTTTACAAAATTAGGAAACAAATAGGTTTTCTTACCTCTGGCTTGAAATGGACCTCTTTCTTCCCTCTCAAGTGACTAGCATTAGTGATCAATTTCAAACCTGAGATCTTTGAAAGAGTTCTCGCTTGTCCACTTCGTAAGACATTTGTTCCAGTTTATTTGTTTCTTTGTTTATCTGGGCCATTTTGAGGTGGACTGACTGTTTTTGATGTTTTTGACGCATCTCTTGCTGGACTAAAATATGGACGCATTCTATTCTATTTATATGGCTGATTGATTCTTTCTTTTCTCTGAGGTAATTGTTTGCCTAAGTCATATATTTCTAGCAGCGTTACACATAAAAAAGGACTTGACATTGCGGAGATGTCGATGATTCCCACTGTATTTTAATTCCATCTTTGTCATGGTATACCTTGTAGCGAATTCGGGTGATTAAACAGGATCTGACAACTAGAACGATTATCTGAGTGGATAAATATTTACCCCAGAATGATCAGTATGTGCCTTATTACGGTCTTGAGGGAAAATCAGTCATTAAGGCGCACGAAACGTTCGGCTTATTTGAAGTTATGTCTGCTGCACCTTTGTTATTCTCTTCATATCAGGAAGATCTTGTGTTTGCTTTGCTATTCCGGACACGGCCAATCCGGTTGCAATGCCATTTGGCACAGCGATTTGCCTTCAACTGATAGCGTGTGTCACGTGCACGTGACGCTGATAACGAACGAATCACCAGCGCCGACTTTAAGAGTTACGTGCAGAATATTACAAATTTCATTTAAGTTAAATGAAATTGCGACTTGAAGTATTTCTTCTGCTGTGACGATGTACATGGGAGATCGGAGAGGTCTCAGCCAGATTAGCGTGCCCTTTAATGTTCTTGGCAGAAAAACAATGCCTTTCTTCCACCTGGGGTCATGAAGTCAGACTGCAAATTTGACTTAATTTACATAAATTCTGCCACTGATTTGCATATGACAATTTAATTTGCTTACGCAATATGCTAATGGATACCCGCCAGCAGACTTTGGGTCGCTTTCACTACTCCCGAGTCTTTTTTATGGTAAAAAGTTAACAAATGAATGGACAAACAGACGTCTACTGTAAGAGTCTCCGTTCCTCTGATTTACTTTTTTGAAGACACTATATGAATTCTTTGAAGTGATCTTGATGGCCTTTTGAGCATAGACTTTTCCAGAAAATAGAGTTCTGCTTCCGTATTACAACACTCTAGGTCCTCTAAAAGGATTTAATAAGTTCGGTGAGAAACTGGAATTTACGCATTAAATTTTATAGCGTAAAAGCTTTTATCGTATTACCTCCCCTAAACACCGCTGAGAAAATATGCACATTATTGCAAAGTTGCGGCACCTGATTTGAAGGGTGCAGAAGGTTAACCAAGGGGCGGGCCGGAGTGGACGCGCAAGAGGAGAGGGGGGTTATGTAATACTTCTGCTGTTTAACATTTGGTTTTGATTGTGTGACTATTTAGTGCTCTGCAGTTATGCTTCTGTAAAGTGGCGTGGCTTATGGACCATGCCAGTAGCTCCTAGGTCCTTCTGTACGCCAGCAATACATAATCTACCCGGGTTTTATTTCACCTTTCGTCTCCAAGAGGGTCTTGAGACGCTACAGAGCTGCAGATTTGAAGGATATAATACACAAATACAACAGATCTGAACTTAGAAGAACACATTCAAACAAAATAATAAAGTGCAAAAGAAGTATAGATTAAAATTGTTGAAACCATTATTACTTCATTTCCACTGAAGCGGTGTTAATTTTCCCGACCAGTAGATAAGAACATCAGTAATTAGATTGTGGTTAAACCGGAAGCCATTAACCGCCTTTATCTGGGATGAGAAAACATCAACATCCGGCAAATTAATCATAGTCCGTCTTGGTTCCTTTTTTTAGTCTAGCTTTTTCGTTAGGCAACTACAAATTCTAGGAGTACAAGTAGTCTCAAACCAAAGACATCCCTTGGTTTTAAATTTAACCAATCTGTTTGTGATGCCAACATCACTGATCAAGTGATAAAGAGTGCGTGGTACGAGTTCTCAAACGATTTCCGGGTAAGCTCTCTCAAATACGTCTAGTCAGTCCTTTATGCTAAGTATCCAATCAACAAGGAAATTTTACAGGGACTGTGTGTCCTCAACATTGCCTGCATAAAGTCGTACTATATTATTCACGCACTCATTGGAATGAACACTAATGGCAATGCAAAACTGACTTTTCGATTCAGTATCCCTATATTCTTAGCAAAAATAAACCGTGAACTCTGGAGGGAAAACAAATGATCAAATTAGTACAGTAAATATTTATTTCCACGAACCCAAATAACTTTTGTCCTTTGTACAATCAACCACGCCCGTGAACCAGGTGTTTTTCGACACTTGGAATACCAATTTATAGTCCGCTTGTTTCCTCCTGCAAAATTTAGAAAACATAGGAATGCTAGTATTTGCTTAAATAGTCTTGGCTGACCTGCAACACAACGTAAATAAGCTCAACTACCCTTTTAACTAAATTTACATCTAATTGGTTACCGAACAGCCTAATTGAATGTGACAGCGACTAATCCGCTCACGTTGTTTTCGCATGCACTCAATTAACCACTTGGTGTCCCGTTTTCATCAAACTTTCAATGCCGCTTCCACTTCCATCAATAACTTTACAATCTATCTTTGTCTTCAGAGAAAACAGGGGTACTGAATCGAAAAGTCAGTTTTGCATTGCCATTAGTGTTCATTCCAATGAGTGCGTGAATAATATAGTACGACTTTATGCAGGTGATGTTGAGGACACACAGTCCCTGTAAAATTTCCTTGTTGATTGGATACTTAGCATAAGGCATTTTTTTGCGAACTCGTACCACGTGCCCTTTATCAGTTGATCAGTGATATTGGCATCACAAAGAGATCGGTTGAATTTAAAACCAAGGAATGTCTTTGGTTTGAGACTAATTGTACTTTTTCAGCTTTTGAACAACTGATGTTATAGTTAACTAGGCAGTTCAGGTATTGGTGCCAGTAAAGTATCAAAACTGTGGTGTTCACTTTCCCTATGAAAGCATGATAGTGGAAGCAGTAATGGCCAGATCGTTTAAAACGCTGTACTACTTAAAGCACGTTCGCGATAAAGCCGAAGGTGCCAATGAAGTTAAGGCTCACTTTATCAAAAGACAGACACATGAAAAGTCGTTATCTTTTGGACAAAAGTACATAACAAGATTTGGACATTTTTGTGGAGTTCATAGACTAATGCAACAACTCTGGGTATGTGGGTATGTGCGTACATCACAATATAAAAGAGAGAATGAATACTTTGCCCCAAAAAGCTTAGTCACAGCGGTTGCATTAGTCCAATTCATTCCCAAAAAATTTCCAGTGGATATTGTTGGCATTGACAATATGGGTCCTCTTAGTTATGGCGGACTACTTTACGACACCACATTGGCAAGGTAATGGACTAATCGGACAAGCGCAGGTTTTAACTAGGAATGCGCAACCACAAAGTTGCGATTTATGGCTTGGACGGTGCCTTCTTGTGTACGGGCTACTGTCTATACATCGATCAGCACTTCATCGTTCAAGATGCTCACTGGTCGTAAAATGAGTGTGTCTTTGCAAATTTATCAAACACGGGATTAACAACCCACAATGTCTCAGAGTATGTACTACGACTAAAAGAAGCGATTAGACAAATTCTCAACGTATCGTGGGACCGCATACGACGGTCGTATATCAGGCAGAAGAGATATCGCAACAAACACAGTCGGCCTAACGCCTACCGAGAAGGATACCTAGCGGAGCTGCCATTGCTGTTTTCGAAGTACCACCGACCCACTTCCGTTGTAATTAACTTAAAAATATGACCCGCTTCCTTAAACAGGATTAAAACCAGTGTTAATTGCACAAGTTGTTTGTGTTTATTGCTTACGGTACATGTTTTGCGAATTCTCTGTTCCAAAAACAACAACACTGGTTTATTTGTTAAGGTCTCGGAATTATGGCCAACTATTGGTACAACAGAATGCAGAGGAATGTGAGGGGCACGAGTTGGTTTTTTTTTGTACCTCGGCTAATGAATCACGTAAAAGGCAAAAGTGGCGGGCCATCGGAATAGCAAAAGAAGCAAGCCTTAAGTGGACCTAAATTTAATAGTTTCAACTGTGACGGCCATTAGTAGCATGCAAGTTAATGAACTGATGGGTCACTTATTTTCGTGGTGATTTCTCAGTAGCTAAAATATTACAAAATGAAACTTGATGTTTCCTTTTCTAGTTCCATTTCCTCATGCTATTCAGCGTATGAAGTAAGAATAAAAATTATGTTTAAAGTCTTGATGCCCTCAAGGGCAAACATAATCAAGGAAGATGGCAATGATTCTTCGTTCGTGATTAGATATTACTTCCAATTGCATCGCTTACCTTTCACACATTTTCAAAGGCATATTTTAATCGCTTTATCAAGTTTTTGGGCCTGTTTTATGGTCAAAATTCCTTCTTTTGATGGTTAATTAAATCAATTTGAGTTTAATACTTTTAAGCTAACTTTACGTCACTGAAACTGCAGTATGTGTAAATAACAGTTTGTTGGGCCAGAACAGCCTATTTTTAAACGTCCTTTGGTCTCTGTAGCATGGGATCCAACACACGAGATTTCGTGCCATCCTCTTGAGAGGAAATACCCTTAACTGCACGGCGTCGAGAGCACACAGCAATCAGCATCGGAATACGCATCGTTCTGATATTTGAAGTCTCTTAAGACTATTTTTACCATGGTGCACCTAATTCCGTTTTGAGAACCAAGTAACCTAGTGTCGTTTTCACATTCAAAACGTCATCAACAATCAGGTAGCAATAGACATTAGTGAGTAGAAATAAGCAGCTCTTTTTTTCTCATACTTATAATAATATTAAGTATATGTGCTAACACTGCGTAGATCAGCGGCTGTTTCCCCTTCAATAGACCGATGTTTGCCATTTTGGCGAGACAAAAGTCCAAAAAAAGCCTAAATCACTCAATTATTTCTAAAATAAAATAAAAAAAACAGCATTTCTAATGCGCTGACTACCGCCTATCATAAACTGAGTGTTGTGGTTATCTGTTTGTGCCAACGGGTGGACAAGTCTAGGTGCTCGGTGGATCGCTTTTTTCTTGGCGTTCGTGTTTCTCGTGTTTGCGCACGTCCGAGTGTGTTGACACACGTCAAAAACCAGCCTCATCCTCCAATCTGCATGAGCATTATCTTTAAACCGCATCTGTTTCTTGTTAGGAGGGAAAATCCTCACTTTTGAAATGAAAAGTGCAGCTCTTAAAAGGAACAAGTTATAACGGTGATGGCTAATTTATTCTTGTCAAATTAAAGTATCACGCAAAAGGCCACCTCTTTTCATTATGGAAAGGTTTTGCAGATTACTTGAATCAAGTATAGTGATAACTATTGATACAACCCTAAAGGGAAGTAATTTAAAAAGACATGATAGAAGTTGCTCTTCAAATATTCTGCCGTACAATCTGAAGTGACTTACAGTTTGCAAACTGCAGTTTAAATAATACGATTTTTAATCCGGACTAGCAAAAATCGTGTCTTTTCCAACTGTTGGGTAATGACCCTGAATAGCTTGCTTTGCGGACACACGAACGATCCATGGCAGATAAGAATCAACACGTCACCCATATAATGGGTTCACTGTGTAAATGCGTTCGTGAAGGAATTTTTCGCGGCCCCATGGGACGCTTGTTCGCTTTGTGTCAAATTGAGCTAGATGACAACATTTTTCGCACCATGCAAATAAAATTGTACATCTAAAAGCCTAAAAAGGGGCTCCGAAATTACTCAAATTTATACTTTGAGAACTCAAAATAAACTGACGCTGGATCTTTCACCTAAGCAACTTAAAGAAAAAGGTTGCGAGATTTCTGTCTAGCGCCACGAGCCCCACCACAAGTAGTTATAAAGCATTCCAGCAGAGAGAAAGATTTACTAATGACGTACAGAGGAGCAATATCGCCGCCTGCGCAGACTGAGGGTCTCATTGCAATACATGGTTGTATGGTTGTTCCCTTGAGGCGCGAAGTGGCCAATGTGTACAAACTCCGTGACTGAACAGACGACATTAATCGACAAGGCGAAAGCGATCTCGAACCGCTGTATCCACTTATCAAAATTATCAAATGAAAGGTTCTCCCATCTAGCCATTCTACACGTTCCATGGGTGCAAAGGCAGAGGCGAAAAAGAGAAATATCGTTGGTAAAAGAAATAGCAAATCCCTAGCAGTATGGCGGATCTCGCTGTTTTTGATCCACTTGAAGTGCATTCCACCCTATTTATTGTGACCGCTTAGCCAAATCTGCCACAACACTTCCTTTTTAAACTTTATTCCGTTAACATACAATAAATACTAGCCTTGATAATGTCATAATGCTTGTGAACGTTTGAAACTCCGGCTTCTGATGTTATGGTCATATTCAAGATAAATCCAAATCCATTTTTATATCCTCTATGTTGCGAGCCAATTTTGCCGTTGGCTGTATATCAGACAGCTTTACATCTTATCATTTCAATAGATGAAAAAGTTTTGGCCTCTGAACCCTTCTGGGATTCTTTTAAAATCAAGTTAATTAAGAATTGTTGAACTTCTAAAGGGATTTATTTTTGCCAAAAATAGTAATGATTTACTAATGATTTCGCTTTGTGTATGCAATATGCTATCTTACATTACTCTTGTATGACTTATGACACCATATTGTATTTCAAGCACGTTGGTCGGGCTTTTGACGCAAGGCGACTTTGGTCTGGGGAGAACTACTATTTTTGGCTTTTGGGGAGGGGTGGACATTGGTCAAAACTGGGGACAAGTGGTGCCATAGTAGAGCCATAGAACCCAGGGCTGCAGTGTCGATTCTTTCCTGAGGCTTAGGCAGCAAACAAGTTAATGCTGTGAATAAATCAACGCACTAATTTACCTCTCACCAACAGTATCAAGTGCACTTCGATACCTATGCAACACAATTGCAGGTCTAACGCTTATTTATAAACTATTGCCTAAAAACTACATCGCTGCATTCTAGGGAACCATTTTCCGTTTCGACAAAAAACACTCTTCTATTTCTGTTGTTATTTTCGTAAGACTATTGTCCATGTTTCCGATCTGTTCAGCCATCATCATCAAGTCGAAGAAGTTTGCTTCTCAAAATATTTCCTTCGATGCTTTATCGTAAGCAACAGGGATAAAAAGCTGAGGAGGCAGCCTTTAATGCTTTCCATTTTACGCAACCCTGTAGCTCAAACTGCTTGTGCAAATTTGAAATCATTTAGGTATTTAAAACATGAGCCGCACTCCTAACATAGGCCTTGAGTTTGGTGGATTCCATCTGAGAACTTACATCTTCACACGAATACAAATTCCCCCTGTCTACAAGCCATCTACTAACTCAAGACAGGTTTACACTGAACCTTCAAGTTTCAGTTCACACTGTTTTCTTACATTTATTTCCTTAGTTCAACTAATTCAAGGTGCACGTATAAATTATGAGTCTTAACAATACAAATTTGGATACATTACAACACATTGGCTGTTTTTAACACTTCGTTTGGGTTTTGCGGACTCTTAAGGCTCCGCTTTTGTACTTCCACTGGGTAGCATGGTCTCCAGGCCAGCTCCACATATTCTGTACGTCGGCAACCCATATTTTTCTTTTGCATTATGTTTTCTCTTGTCTTTAGGAAAGTCTCGATGCACTACATTGGTGGTAGTGGAAACCTATTACTGAATATTACACCTGAACATGGCAGGAGAAGGGCCTATGCTGTGGATGGAGAAATCTATGATTGCCACCAACACAAGGGTTGCAAATGACGACTACCTTCAGCAACTATTCAGGTCCCTTATTTTGCAGGAATGTTACAAACAAACGAAGTGGCATCAGCCATGACACTAAACTATCAGGAGAAGTTCATTACGGAGCTGTTGACGGTACATGTAGGGAAATGTAAATTAGGTGAACACGCGGGACCTCCTCCACTTCCCTACTACCTGGATGGAATCCGAATAGATATGGCTAGGCAGCACTGAGGTGAAGGCAAAACAATATGTCTAAGCAACTATCTTAACCCTTTCCTTTATTAAATTACTTTTAGGCCATTGTTTCTGCTGCCAGCAACGGACAGGCGCGATGGCGTGCACATTCCCCCTTTAGATTTTTATGCAGGATAACACTCTAGATTCAATAAAATTGCCAAGATAGATCAATGGTGCTGTAATCAGATATTATCTCAGTTGCGCTTAAAATTCATAACTCACGCGGTTAACTTTGTCGGTGTTTTCCCTTACAGGTCTGGCTGCTTTGTAACGGCTGACGCGGGAAGTTGACCAAGGAGAGTGCCGAGGACGATACTCAAAGGGAGAGAGAGGCCATGCAATATTTTAATCGTTTGTTTAATTCATCGTTTTGATGTTATGAGCTCTTAAGGCACAGCGATTGTTCTTTTGCTGGGCGCCATAGCCTCCGACCCTTGCTAGTCGCCCCTCTAGCAGCTCTTCCCTACGCAGGCAATACAGTTTCTATCCTGTTGAAATGCCTTTTTTATCTTCAGGCAAGATTGAGAGTGCTGCAACATGACTCAAATTTATTAAAATTACGTAAAGGTAAGGTGTTAAATCCTAAACTCTGACCTAATGACCTATAATTACTCAAATTTTACACTTAATCACATGGTTCTCCACTAAACCCACAGGGTATTTTTGGATAAGTTTTTTAATCTAATGTGAAGATTAGCGTTTATTAACATGTGCTACGGAAGTGTTGAATTACGTCCACAATTCATGTGCGCACTTTTAAAGACGGGATATCCTGCACTTGGGCGTAATTCGTGGTTGTACATTGTCGCCGTGTGTGCTATAAAAAGATGACTTCTACCTTTTAAGTTAAGGATCATTCTAGCATCATATATCATTCAGAAATCAGATACATACATTTTAATTAAAGTCATATTTGTTTGCCAATCAAGTTATTCGGTGGCAAATACTGATATGATACGAATAGTTGACTTTATTCAAAGTAGGCCCTTTTAGTTGTCATGTGCCTTCATCATTCTGATCTGTGAAGCGTTTGAACTTTCCCTCAACTAATGGATTGGCAGTCTGTATCTCAGACTACTTGTGTCCTATCAGAATAGGCAAATTAGAAGCCCAGGGAACACCTCCTGAGAATCTTCATTTTGCATGACTGTAAAAAATCGGAAGATAAAATTATTTTAATTGAAATGTGCCTACCACCCCGGATGTACAGAAGCAGTAAAATCGGAATAGGGAAACCGAACATCATTTTAACGAGATTTCATAATTTCATTAAACCGCACCGGTAAAGACTGGCAGCTTTCACTTCCCCATATCACAACATTAATCAGACCCACTATCTTTAGGTTTTGAAGTGGTTTTGTCTCACAAAACTATTATATCTAGCAATACATAAGCGACAGAGCCTTTCTAAACCCTCATTTATGCTTAAGGTAGACTTAGCCCGCTTGAAATAGTAGTTCCTTTTTTGATGACGGAAGAAGATTACTGTAGGATACTTCTAGAACACCTAGACTTCGAGATCCACTCGTTCCAGGCAAAAACGATTTTGTATGCTTAACAAGACATTGTGAACTAGGAATATGACAGTTTTGCTCAGCAATATTTTGCTTTGAACTAGTTCAGATACAGATGCACGCAGAAGTATGAAAAACCACTTTCGTGAGAGCGGCGAGGAGAGCAGTCCCACTACCCACCACACGTGCCATCGTTCGAACCCTTTAATGAATTGCCTATTGGTGAGCACGGTAGCTGTGTTTTTACTGATTAGTACCAATGGCATATGTGCCGGACCATGATTGGTTCATTAGTCTACCCGTTAGTAGAAAAAGTTGAGGAAACGCTTCCGTGTGAATGCGGGCGATGATTCCAAGTAGCTCGTCGAATGGAGAGGAGGTCGAAGACTGCGACTTGTTGCGCTTCTCCGCTTTTAACAGTAGTGGGTTTTCCACAGGTCTCGGGACCAACGATGACGCGTGGCATTTAGTCTTCCCTCGTCCGCTACTGACATCCGTGAGCAGTGGCACCAATGCTGAGTGGTCAGCACACTACGCAAGTGAGTTAAGAGATTTTTAGGTTCTTATTATGATTGTGTTAACTGAGCTTGAGTTCTATCTATTTTTGGAACTCATTATCGTACTAAAAATCCTTTATTTTTGTTAGGGTTCACTAGTTTGATTTATTCCGATGTTCGCAGCAAAGATACAACCATTAGTTTACAGAGCGTGTTGACAACTGACACTTTGCTCGGTGGTATATAAAGGAATCATAGCGGGCGCCATTATTATTTGCAAATACAGTTTCACTATTAGCTTTCTCTTGAATGCAGCACGAATTTATGACGACTTACGGATAATGTGAGGTGTTTTTGTACTTTGTTTTAAACGGAGTCACATGCTTTCGTTGCTACCATGGCAATGGATGGAGAATATTGGTTAAAGATTGGATTTTCCATTATTTTTTTTATTTAACCCCGACCTGGCCCATCTCGCTTTTTTAACCTATCGATGTTGGATACGTCGGGAATAACACGGCACAGCTCCCAGTGTAGGCTAGCACTTATCAGGGCCCTGGTAACTAAGTCCATATCGTTGCGATGCTTTTTTCCGCGACAGATAAATGAAGTCGCGTAAACTATAGATATGGGATACGTTGGCTTTAAAATGGCGTCTGCGTGTGTTTCGTTCCTGTTGTTGAGGCCATGCCTGCAATACTTTTAACTAGTGCTACTTTGTTGCCTTCAGAGTGTCCTTTTTAGTACCGTGTATGGTGAAGGACCAACAAGGCCATTTGTGTTTACCTACGTCCCTTTTTGCAAGTAAATTACAAAGTAGAATTTTGATATTCTTGTTCCACATTTTTGCTTCCCTAAAACTCGACTTTTGTTGCGGTAGCTCTTAACCGTCAACGCAGTGGTGACAACTCCGTTGTCAACTTCTCATTGAAGCCTCGGTAATAGGCTGTTAAAGCTGCTTATCAGCTTTATTATCATTACGACAGAAGTAAGCTCAGAATCAGCAATACATTTCCTATGCAAGCATCGCATTACATTGCAAGGAAAAAAAAATAAGATCTGGGAGGTGCTGTTTCTCAGACGCAAGTTTTTTTCAGCCTATTTTGCAGACTAATTAGCATCGGACACCTTTTTCCAACCCTGTTACCTCATTTTACTACCGTCTACAAACTCAAGCATCCAAGTCTCCTATTTAGGTTTAAATGTTTGGAGTAGACAGTGGCTGCTTTTTTGGTTCATGCAAAAATTGCATCGCGGTCGAGCATGACATCGGTTGTCGCTGTCTAGTCTAGACAAAGTCACGCATTTCAAGGTTAAATTTTTGAAATTTCTTGTTGTGAATACCATTGATAGCCAAATGCGTTGGTGCGCCCGATTTGACGTACACCCACTTTAGTATCCATCTTCAGTACATACTAGCATATAAAGTGAGATATTTTCCTCAATCCCGACCCACGCTATGTCTAAATATTTGGCTACCTCGTTGCTTTTAAATTGATGACCAATATCCTTATTTTACCGGTTTGTTTCATGCTGCGCAAAGTGCTCTCGGACATGCTGCAGGTTGACAAGTGTTGGTGGGATTGAGGCCTACTCCATTTTCAGGAAATTATTTCGTTTTAGGGGCGTTGAGACGTTCTACTTCTGCAAAGGCTTTGGCTATCATAGCAATACGGGAAGTACTTTTCTGGCAAAACCTGTGAGTTTCTCCATCGTTTACTTATTTTTTCGTTATTTATCTACACAAATGCTGTTCCTTTCCGTGTAAGTCTGCACCTTACTAAGCCAAGCTACACCAAAAGATTGTCCTTTCCCAGAAAATTAATGCATCTAAATAACAGAGTAAGATCCATGTGATTCAGCGGACCTATTTAAGGTGGTCCTTTAATTAATTATTTTCCTATGTATCAAAAAGATTTGTCGAATTCTTTTGAAAGTAGTTTATGGTTTCGCCCCCGTCCTCCTCCTGCTCCTCCTCATCCAGCCCACTGTAAATTTCGCTGCCATTTTCGAACTTTCAGAACACAGCATTAAAGTACCTTCGTAAAACAAACGTTAGACTTCCACTTTGCGAACTGTTAATTTTGGACGCCTGGAATTTCACTTTAGTAAGAGCACGTCAAAGTGTGGGACGATTTGTAACCTTATTTTATTTGGCAGAGGTGCCGACAAAATCAAAAGACTTAGCGATGACAAGCTCAATTTTTCACTTATTGTAGCTAACCTATAACTGTTTGACCGTGCGTTTAGCTATGTATTCCATTCAGTCTTCTGATTTCCCACTTGCCTTGACACCACGACTTTAGCCGTGCCTATGATCACACAGCCTGTCTCTAAGGCAGTGATAGGATACTCTATGCCAGAATGCTTATTACGATTTCAGACGAGATTCTAGGCACTAAGGAATGGATATGCGTCAGGGAAGTTTTAATGAAGGCGCAATAATCGGCCTTAAGAGCAACATTACTGGCAATACAAGGACATTTGATAACGGTAGTCATTCTTGCAAGCTTTGGCATGCTTGACGCGATTATTCACTAGACAGAACGCGCCGAATGACAAGCAAGTTGTCGACAGATTTCGCAAAGTCCCATCTAGCGTGAGGGGAGTGGAAACGTTTTATGTTTTCGCATTACTCGAACGAAATGTTTGTCACGATGTTCGATCACTATGACAGCCACAGCTAGGGTTTGGAGGTGAATACAGATAGAGCATACAAGTTAATAAAAGACCCGTTTACTAGAAAGGAGTTTGAGCTTCACTTTCTATATACCTACAATTTTTTACTAGAATAGTACAACGTGTAGGCAATTAAAAGTAGTAACTAATCAAGACTAGCCCATTCAAATCCATTTTTTAATCACTGGCCCCGTACTATAAAATCGGAAATAACTCCAGAAGTCAGGATCCTCTTAAAATTTTACTAGGTTAATGGACAATCTGCGACGTCATTCATATTTGGACATGTATAAGTCAGCTCAGCTAGCCGAATTCTTTGAACAGTTAGGATGCTTTCTCCGTCGCATGAGTGATGTCAGCCGGGAGTTGTGCGTCTTCTGCCGAAACAACAACGAAACCTTTGAAGTTTACTCAAGCCACAAGGTATTCACTATTTCTCCTCACGTTTCTCCCAATTTTTTAAGCGACCAGAGACAACAAGCCAAGATAGCGCCATTTATTCCACTGTTCGTGCCACCAGTTTCAAAGCCTTTGTCTAATGAAGTCGTTGCTTTTTGTTTAAGTTGAAAGATGAATTCGGGAGAGTAACATGCCCGGCTCTGCGAAGGTTTGTGTGTCCTCTCTGCAAGGCTACGGGCGATGAGGCACATACCCCTCGCTACTGCAAACGAGGTGGACATAGACTTGCGTTGGAAACATCAGAAATGGGATTTCAAATGAGTATCTTGGACAATGGGAGTATTGATGAATTCGAAGCATCAAACCGATCACTTCTGCGTCCCCTAGCAATGGACTGGACTTCACAAGAAATCTCCTTTCTATCCTTGTAGAACTCCAGTTTCCCTCAGTATTAAATTTATGATAAGCCTGACAAAATTCAGCCTATTTGCAAGATTTGACCTTGAGTTGTCTGGGATTATGCAAGGGCTGCAACTAAATTTCTAGTTAATTCGTGATTTAGCAGTGCTCTTGGAAGCATTGCTTACTATTGCATCACTTAATGCTCTGGACGTTATGGTTGAAGTATTTATACATTATCAAAGGTTTCCTAGCTCATGAAAAGTTCCCTTTTTTTCCATCTTTTTCAACACTTTCCCCGCAAGAGTCCCTCAGTTGGAAATACGATGCGTTTGAAAATGAGTTTCTTTATACATGCTTACAATGTATAATGTGGTCCACTTTATCACTGGTATTGAAATGGAGAAGAAAGGTAAGAAGTAAAGGCACTCGAGGATGGCACAAAGGAAATGAGAGCTAATTAAGTCACCTCTTTTTACAGTAAATTCATGAAAATATCCAACGCAGTCAAACGTGAGATTTGAAAAGATATAATTACAAAAGGTGGGCGGGGGTCTAGTGGGTGGGCGATGAGGTTCCTGCGGGCACACTTCTGAAGGGCGCTTACAGAGCTGGGGTGACGGTACGTTCAATCAACCGTGGAGGTGGCTGGGAGTGGCTGGCCGTTGAGGTTCACCGAGGGCGGTCGCTGGTTGGTGGAGATGTCAGGTTTGGCAAGGCGGTAGATATTGTGCTGCGCTCCTCGCAGGGACTTCGATACCTCGAGGACGTAGGCAATACCCAGCAGCACTTCATCTGTATTCTTATTCGTCACAATCTGAAGTGGCATATTTATACCTTGACGAGCGATTTGTCTCCATATTGCTGTACGCAACTGGTAAACTGGAAAAACTCCCCTTAACTTACTTGGAGAATGGTAAAATTCTCAAGCACTTGGTTCATTTCAGCAAGAGACGATAGTTTGAGCAACTTAGCAATGAACTTCTTCATGCATGCGCACATCGGGCTTCGTAGTTGTTTGTACACGTACCGGCCATTTTCCAGCACTGGGCTTTCGTACTGCAATATGCCATAGGGAAAGGTTTTACTTATAAATTGTTAGTAGACATAATGTTTTTGGGTCAGTAGGTTGCGGTTAGAATGGGAGGGGGGTGTAGGAGGCAATTTGCCTACCTCCAGTTTTTCCACAAATGGAGAGCTGTAGGAGCAAAGTCGGGTGGATACGAGTAGAGGCACATCTTCCGTTCCCTCGAATCTTTGAAAGATTAAAAGCCAAATTGTGATCGCATTGCCAAGCATGTGGACACATTCGGAAAGTGCAGCCCCTAACTAAGCTATGCTCAAAACATTTATATAATTTGACAAAAATAAATGTATAGAATTTTCGCTAAAAAATAGACATTTTAAGTAAGTAGGTCAGGATAAGTTTACCATAATCTTATTTAGAAAGTGGACTATCCAAAAATAAGATGAACTTTCTTCACACAGAGACTCCCATTATCCGAGTTTGTTCATTTTCATAGGCTTTAAAGACTAAAACAGTTGTACATCTGCGATTGCAGAAGATAATGGTGGAATAGCAAACTGCCACCATTACTGTTTGACAATGCAACAACACTACTTACTCCTTATAATCAAACAACGCTTGTGCTATATGATGGTCGGAAATCTGTAATGAGTCAGGCAGAAAATTATCCATTTTTTTGCCATCATTTTTACTTCAATAACAGTAAAAAGTATGCACTCAGAACCACGCTTGCGTTCGTATGGCTAAATAAAAGGGCATAGGTGAGCATCCTTGTAAGTTTATGCTGAGAATAACCTCCTACTTAATTGCGCAATCGGTAATGTAGTTGGATGGCAGTTGATGTTTGTTGACGTTAGAAGAGCATTCTACTTTACAGATGGGTTAATTGAACCAACGAATGATGCTGTAATGCTGAATGCTTGAGAAATAGGGGATGGCACTTACATAGAGGAGACAGCATAATTAGCGCCCTCGGGAAGTTCGGTGTTGATGTCGGCCTGTAATGAAAAGGGAGGCATTTTGCGGGGCAAAAAAGGAAACATGCGATGAGAGTGTGTGTGTGTGTATGTGCAATCCTTTACCTTGACTCAGAGGTGTGTGTGCACTGACAGCGACTAAATACAAAACTAAGGCTATACACAAACACAACACAAAAGTGCGCGTAAACCACGACAGACAAATAATGGAGCAAAAAAAACAGTCGGGGAGTAAAATACCCTTACATTACGTCCTCTTATAAGAAATATGCTGCGTGGACGGTGGCTGACTGAAATGCAAAGTTGGGAAAATGGCATTTGAGGAAAATCGTCCAAATTTACAATGGACATAAATAAACACGATACCAGTGCTTGATTGCTCTATAACAGAGCCTTCATTAGTCACTAATCTATCAGTTTTGTGGGCAAAAAGGACTCCCTGGTGTAATCAATCGTACATTATTAACATTACAACCGGTTGTAGGAGCAAGACCAAATACTAGTGAATTCTTGATACAGTCCCCTACAGAAAATCACTACAACAAAGATTTTGATCGCCTCATCTTTGTACCTTTTTATTATGTAGATATGAAATTGTTTTATGAGTAAAAAGTGACCATTTATACTAAACTATACCGTGTGGATTCACTCACTACACAAACAGTTCCAAGGGAATGTCAAATAGGTATGCCGAGAAGGTTTGATGTACCCAGGACATTGAAATGGAGGTGCGGAAATTTAATCTGTTAGTTTCTCATACCTACAGCATTCTGTCAAGACGCAGGTCTAACAAATATCACCTAAAACTGAAAGTAGCAGTTTTCTTGATTCTCCTTCTCACGTACCAGATGGTTGCCAAACAGTGAAGTGAACCTGCATTTCGTTGGGACTAATAAACAAGAACCACAGTTTAAAGTAGGAGGAAGTTGTGCACCCAAGAGTGGGTGCAAACCATGTTGATCAAAGAATCCCATGTTTGTTATTAAACAAATGTTGCAACACCTAAGGATCAATTTTTGTTTAGATTTCGACAAAAGGAGGACACTTTTTGACTTTTCATGAGGTAGTATCATATGGCACTACTATTGGAGCGCACTCTTAAGGAATGGAAGATCTCAAACGTGTCACCATGCCAACAATATCGCCGTTTCATCATGGTACATATAACGTCCGGTATACTAAAGCTTGGAGCTGCAAACATTTCCCAAGTCTAGAGTTGAGCTGCGGCAATAACAAGGTAAAAAGCTTATTGAAATATCATTCGTAAATAAGTATATGGATGGAATCTGGAAGAAAGGGTAAAAGAACCACCTTAATTCAAAAGTGTGCTTTTTTGAATTCAGACACCTCCCAATTGAACAAGTTGATTGTTTCCACCCATGTCAGCTGAGGAGATTTCAAGGCTTACCCAAAGTTTCACAAGGAAAAAGACGTTAGGCGAGTCCTCTTCAATGCGCTGCTTGAGTCCATCGGTGGGAAATTTGTCCCAAATTTGGCTGGCATCCACCTCCTCCAGTATGGGATCAGATGAATGCAGGCCGGTTGTCGTTATATGCGCAAAATTGTGCTGCTTCATGGGTGCTGACTCCGGATTCAGGGTCTTTGAAAAGGGTCAAGAAACACTTGTGTGTATTCAATGACATACAATTCTGCAGTTTATCAACAGATACATTGAAGCCCAAATTTCATTAGTATTTCTCAAAATCTACTAAAGTGGTGATTTTACAAGTACTAATTTATTTACCCGTCTATTTATTAATAAGAGGACTCTTCTAAATTTTAGGCATCTACATTTAAGAGATCGTATAAAATGTAATTGTAGCATTAGGCATTTAACGATTTGTCCCTGACACAAATTCGTCTAAATGAGGAAACAAACAGACACGATGTGTAACTAGAGAAGGAGAAGTGGAATTTTTGGAGTTGCAGGACAAAACTGTCCATGTAATTTGATATGTAGGGACGCCAATCCCAGAATGGCTTTTAAAAACCTTCTTAGATCCAAAATTCACCTTAATAGAGAGGCCCTTTATGACTTCTTCAGTTGTCTGCCTAAGGAAGTCAAATATCACAAAAAACGGCGGATTAGATAATAAAAGCCCGTACAAAGTAGCTTCTATTGTTTGTCTATAAGCAATTAACCTAAAGGGTAAATAAAGGGGGCGCAGCGTGGTCGTCCACTATCATTCATATGACTGATTTGGTCATTTACGACTGCATTCGTGGCCGATGCCATCGATGCCTTATGAACCAAATCACCGAAGTGTTATCATCTGGCAGCATTTATGAACACATCTGAATGTCACTGATGTGGGTGGGGGGTCGGTCCGTGAATAAAGTGGTATCAGAATTGTTAATTAGATAGCTCCGCATTGTTACTTGTAATCATTGACCTTTAGATTATACACTTTGAAAGTGTAAAAACTGGCCTTTTTTCCTCCTATAGGATCATTATAATTCGAGCATAATTCTTAAATGCCACTGAGTTTGCTGTGTTGCATAAGTCCTATTCATCAGCTTCATGTGTAACTTGTTTATTATAACGTACTCTTGTTATCTAAGGTGCCCCATCCGATTCATAGAAAATTACTCAAACGTAAATCACCAAGTCTGGGTGGCACCTTTTACTCAGGTGATCCTATTTATTAAAAAGCAACGATGACAAAATGCGCTTAGTGTTGTAATACTTTAATCGGTAGTTTAACTCTTCCTTTTGACAGTTTCGAGCACGGCCATAGTACCTCCACACGATGGTATCTCCTCCGAGCCATGCCAGTAACCCTTCAACCCTTCTGCACAGCAGCAATACATCTTCTATCCTTGTAATGTGTCTTATTTTGTCTTCAAGAAAGACTTGGGGCACTGCACTACTCTATGTAAGTCATATTCATTGAAACACAAGCTGCCTATCCGCATTTCCTGAGCTAAAAGTATCTATCCTATTTCTTTTTGTTAATATGCCCTGAACTTCTTGTGGATTTACTTTATTCCAGCAGATTTTACACTCATTCAGGAAGCAGTGAGGAGGTTTCTTAGCCAAATTTTCCATTCGATTTCCGGCAAGATATTTGAAGTCAGCAATCCTTCGATTGGACACAGACAAAAATCGTAGGAGGGTGCAATAAGCGCAAATGTAAACACCTCAAGACATTAAAGAAAAGAACTTTTCATTCCTTGCCTCTTTTACTATCGAACAAAAGTAGACTCATTGCTTGTGGCAGTGAACAGGTTCTCTAGCTAACTGCATAACTGCCTTGTGCAAGTCAAGCTGTTTGACACTTCCCGCCATGGGAGAGACAGCTGCAGATAATGGTGAGAAGTAATGTACAGTGTAAATAGTACGAACGAAATCAGGACAAATTGGAGGCTATTTTCATGTTAAAAACGAATTTTATTTATTAATGGTACTGTGGGTACAGCTTAATGAGGTTATTTTGCTTTAAGTTGTCCGAAATGATGGATGAGCGACCATGTAATGCATAAAATTTCTCATTTTCGGAATCCTGATAGGCAAAAAACAAGTCCCAAAAGCTGAATCCCAAGTAGGTATACCTAATGACAGGTGCAATGACGTTCTTCGTCAGCTCCGAACAGAATGGAAAGACCGATAAGCTAAATTTTAAGGAGAGTAGGAAAGATTTCTCAGAAAAAAACTTGAGCAGATCACCAGGATATTCTTTTATCATCATTTACATTTACAAACACTTTCTGCGCCTAATTTTAGAGCACTTTATGGGTGATACACAATTAAACTGTTGGGTTAGTTCACTCATTCTCACAAATGAAGATCTTAAGGATAAGCATAGCAACGGTAATCAGGAGAAATAAGATTACTTTCAAAGTGGTGCAATGAAAACCGAATGGAACTATAGAAACAAACATCGAGATCATATAGCAATAACGTTTAATGAGGATTACAAAAGATTCCTTGTGAGGTGACTATGAACATTCAAAGCGTAATATTGTGAGTTGGCAGTAGGATGTGCTGCCAAATGACCTCAACGGCAACTTTTGTAATTTGCTATTTACCAAATAGGTATGAAGGTTAAAATCAGAGTTTCATTCATGTTGGTATATAAAAGGTTTGTGAGCAGTTAATTTGCAATGCTGAAACCAGAAAAGCAGTTTTTCTAAGCACAAAAGAGGTGGTAATAATTTTCCCTACTTAAAAGTGCAAGCGCTCCCAATTGACAAAATTACGGGCCTGTGGTTTACTGAGCCCCGCGGAAGGCGCGGCAGCGGTGGTGGTGGCGGAGGGAAACATTCCCACGGGAAGCAGCTTATGGGCGCGGACGCACACCGATCTCGAACGCGAGCATGCATAACCGTGCACATCACATAACCACCACATCAGTCCGTGCAAGCACACTGCAGCCTCGTCAGCTGTGCGCGCTCGGCCTACACACGCATGCACGCACGAGAGGGTGGACAGGCAAGAAGGTAAGTAGGTGAGTGGGCACAAAGCAGGGGAGAGGTGGGAAACAGTTGCTCGGTCCGATCATTTACGCTGGTACACATAGTCTTACAACACACTTGGAAAGTGGACGCTCGCGCACGCAAGCAAGCACGCACCCGCGAATGGAGCCGGGCGTACCATCAATCTTGCCGGGAGTTGGCATCCCGCGAAAGAGGGAGAAAGAAATACAAGGGAAGTGAACCCCCTTCGCGAATACTGCCACAGAGGCCGCAAGTCATGACATAGAGCCGGATTTGAACTGGGTGTACACATATGAATCACTACCTTAGCCGTGGCCTGATTTGTGACAAGAACACCGAGCGAATTTACCAATTTTAACCAGTTTTTGATTTGTGCAATCATTTATATGGTAATCTTCATTTAACTTTGAATGAATTATCACTGAAAATGCCTAGTTCAGTGCGCTGGTAACGTTCTCTAGTTCTACGTTCCAAATGAACTTTGCAGTGATAACTTTGGCGCACTTCACATCTGCAAGAAGGGCACTTCATTGATGCCAGCTGAGGAGATTATCCCGTTGCAGTGTCAAAAGACATTTGGTCATTTAGATTTGCGATGGCAGTCTTGAATGAATTGACGTCGATTTAAATTTATTCTACGGGAAAACGATGAGTGTATACTTGCATTAAATTTACTCTCCACCTGTGAACCCGAGCGAATTAGTACACAGTGAAGGATGCAAAAGTTTTACAACTTCATCGCCCATAATTACTACTTTTGGTCAAGCCGGAGGAGTTGAACCACAGAGAATAAAAATAGTTTTATGACGAATAATAACTGACGAGATAAGTTCATTTTATTGATGCACTTGGAATTACTGAAGATGTTAACTTCCCAGATCTGAAATGATCGCGTGGTTCAAACGAAGAAACCGACAGTTAAGCAACTCAAATCTAGAAGTTGCAGACGAAATTTCTTAGGTGTGTTTTTTTTTAATGCAGACTCCGTGTGTGGCCGCCGATGAGGAAAAAGGGTGTAGTAGACACAAAATTTACTATTGAGATGGGAAGGTAGCAGACACTTGCCAATTTTGCTGTTCTACAGGGAACTTGTGCTAAATCAATTACCGCTCGAAGGGCTAGGTATACCCAAAAGCACCACTTCACTCATGCACAACACCAACAAATTCACGCAGTGACTCAAGCACTAACGGCGGGAAAATGTCAGTGAAGTGTATGATAGGTGCACACATCATGCAAATGCCACACCGCAAGTAGCGCCTCCTCCTCGCAGGGCGTGCATGAACTTTCATGATGCGCGCAAGGAAGGTATGGAGGCATACACCTCTCTCCATTACTACTGGATCACGTGCACCGGCACATTACAAGTATGTGGGAAGGTCGAGAAAGCCCCAGCAGACCCACGTGTCTTCTGGCGTCTGCCGTGTCTTGGTGCGTCAGCTCCTCAATACAGGAAAACTCAAAACGTATAAATTAATTTACCCTTCTCTCCACAAAAGCAATTAAAGAACTGGTGAAGTGATTCAGCTTAAGTGAGAAGTTGACTTGAATGTGACTAAAAAAGGAGGAAGGCCCATTCAGAACAGAAATTACCATGAATGGTTGCGCTCCATCTGATTACGTCTACAGGCAATATTGTGATTGACTATGTCATGGCTCAGCCACTCTGATGCTTACAAAGACATTCAGACTAGCCAAATATGCGGAGGATTGCTGTGAAAACAGAAGCCCGGTAAACACCAATAGGAAAACGAGCAAAAAAGAAATCCACTCGCCACATCATTCAGTAAAAAATAAGTTTTCATTTCGATTCTTAAATGTGCAAAGAAACCTCAAGGTCTATTGTAAAAAGTATAGCTTAATTACTGATATGAATTCGGAGAATGGCGCAGTGTAGGAAGGTCTCTGTGCCTTTGAAATGACATCCCACACTGTAGTTCAAGTAAGGTATTATAACTTCGACTCAGATTGATATAGAAAGCGACCCTTAAATAGGTCCCAGGCGTAGTTATTGTCAAAATGTAAATTGTATTAAGTAAAAAGGTCGAATTGGATCTAAGGCGCATCCCCTTCACGTGCGTACTTCAAATATGCGTGCATTTCACTGCAAAACTGGAACACTTCCAAAATTCGCCCTATCGATCCCCTTGAAAAAGGCGCACGGGATGGGAGGGGACGGGAGGGACATGCAAGCTGGAAACAGGGCAGAGGTGAAGAGGAAGTGTTGGTAATACGGCCAAAGAGGATTTTGGGTGTGTGTGTGTGTGTGTGTGTGTGTGTATGCCTGTGCGTGTACGTGTGCAGGCTCCTGACTTCTTCGCTCCAGGCGTTGTTGCCCACGGCCAGGCATCAAACACTGCCGTATTCACTGGTGGGCATCCTCGTGCATGCGTGCGTGCGTGCGTGCACCCATGCAGCCTGGCAAGCAAATTTCGCTTCTGTAAATCTCGGAATCATCAGGATGGGCAATGGGCGAAATGAGCGGAGGCGGACGGGCACGTATGCGCACTCCCGTACAAGAACGTGCATACGCACAAATCGCCCTGCATGACAACTGTTGTTACATCGCACAGCAAGCTAAATCACTGCATGCGTATACGCATATACACACTTGAACGGCAAAAAGAACTGAATTGTGTAAATAAGCCACTTGTGGTGTAGAGGGTAAATATCCAAAAAGCAAAAAAGCATATTTATTTGTTTCAGTTTATTTAGGCCAAGTAGATTACCAATGAACCTCAGTTCACTTTTGATTACAGGGTAGTTTGGTTGATAGGCATCTGCCATCTGAGAGGCATTTGTTCCGTAGTTGTAAAAAAGTGGAATTAGATTTAATAACTTGAAGCAAAGAAAATGAAAAGCATCTAGAGGATCCTCAAAGTCTTCTTGATGCCAAACTAATGGTTAAACTCCAAAGTTAGACTCATTGAACAAGTCACCAAACCGCTAATCTGAGAAAATCACTGATTGACGGAATACAACTAACTTAAAAGAAGTAGATAATTCTCATATAAGCTCGAAGACAAATGACGCAAATTGGGAAATTAATTCTAAAACTTTTGTAATTACTTTAGGGTGATTTGAACAATAAGCTGCGCATGCCTACGCATTCCAACAAATTAAATGTGGTAAACCATTCTGGCAGGCTATAAGAAATCAACCAAAAATGAAAACGGCCTATTGCATTTTATTCTACTTTTCTGTTAGAAATATCGGTAGGTTTACTCACCAGATCTTCAGCAGCGCATTCTGAGATTTGACAAGGATATTCGACAAAAGCGCAGAGTTCAACGAGACGTAGTTTATCCGAGGCGATAGATCTATTAATCCACCGCTGCATGTCAAAATCGGACAGCGAGTGCTTGGACTCAAGAATCTGCGGCAGCGGCGCCGGAAGCGGAGCAGCGGTCAGTGCGACCGATTGTGAAGATGGTGGCGGTGGTGGAGGAGGAGGCGGAGGAGGTAGTGGTGGTGGTGGTGGTTGAAAGGCGTTTGGATAGAGGCACGTCTCAATGGAAGACGATCGACCACTGGAAAAGTAGTGCTCCAACCCAGCTGCTGCTGCAAGTTGCATGGCGCTGAAATCAGGCGGTGGTGGAGGTGGAGGAGGTGGCGGATGCTGAGGTAGTGGTGGGGCTGCTGAGGGAACGCATCTATCACTGCCGCAGCTGCCCATCTCGAGCAGCGGTGGCAGCGGAGTCGTGTGTTGTGCAAGGTGAGGATTGTGGTGCGGGTTAGGGTTGTGCGAACGGATGTAGAGGCTGGAGTAGTGGGTATCGGAGGGAAATGCATTCGGTGGAGGTCCAGACATGACCACACGCTGTGAGATGGAGGAGGAACAAAGTTTTAGATCTCCACTTCTTGCCGCATGCACAGCAGGATTTTGGCTGTTGTTGAGGGAAAGGAAACTGTCTGTTGTGTCGTACACTTCTGGATCTATTAACAGAGAATACACAAATGAAATAATAATTGCATTAATAATCTGCGAAAATTGGTGTTAATTCCAGCATTTCGTAACCACCCCCCCATAGAGAGAAGTAAGCGGAATGACTGTGGTTTCTAACCAAATTTGTTTTTTATAGCCCAATAAATCATCGCCACTGTGAGTTATTATGCTTTTGGTCTGAATGCCATTTAATTCACTTCCCACTTTTAAGTGTTCCATTTCTTGAGATTCCGATAAAAACTGTGTGACATCCTCAATGTAGGGTTTAAACCTTCCACTAATATTTGATTTTATCTTCAAAAGCACCATCAAATAAGTCAACAAAACTCACTTTAAACGCCCAGTAAGTCATGATGCCACTCATCTTTTTGGATAAACGATAAAGCAACTGCAAAATGGTAAGCGTTCTACCACAGTTCTATCAGCAAAACTGACAGAACTCAATTTTTTGTCCTCAACAACAAAAATTTTTGTTTTATAAGTCACGAGTAATGTGCTATAAATTATTTGTATTTAGTCATACGTAATTTGGCAACGTAGTAAAGTATATAAAAGCCATAAACAATAGATAACTGACTGAATAAAATCGTTACTTTCTCAGTCTCCAGGCGAACGAATCACGCACATCTAACCAGAAGTAGCCAGTTGCTTCGATCACCAGTGGTGAAAATCTGTTTCCATGTGAAGAGATTAAAAGCGAATTTCTCACGAATGAGGCATGCTATCGTCTTGAATGGGGCAATTTTTTAAGGACACTGCACTTTATCCCAAACTCAGAGTGTCAAATTTCAACGGCCGTAAACAATGGGGGTCTTGGTTGCACTACCCAATTCAAATACACATAGGCAGGCCTTGATTTTATTCTACTTTAGTGAATTTTTTATGTCACCAGACTGAGTCATATGAAATGGGTGGTTAGGTAGGAGAAAATATGCATGTGAAAATAACTAACTATTCTACATTCACCTGTCAGGAGGTCATATAACATCTTACGCACATGAAAATGCTGTGCACGACAATGGTGAGCTATTGGTTTTCTACAGATCTTGACTACTCTGGCGCAACATCATTTCATCAGCAAGTTCATTGGGTGTGGTAGCTTAACAGAAACGAGGCGTCTTTGAAACTTATTGAATAGCGCCTGAGTGTCCAATGTTCCATGCATTCCTGTTGAAGCAGAAACATAACTCACTGGAAAGGAATAAATCGAGCACGATAAGAGGCGCGGTTGTAGTAATAAAATAATATTTACTCAATTGTTTCTTTTTTGACGCTGCTAAGTCTATTTTTTGCACATTGCAGCATTTTAATTCAAGAGCAATACCACAAAAGAGTTCTTTGACAAGTTTAACCGTGAGATGTATTCGATAGGACTGGGTCGGGGTCTATGAAACTCGATCCGCTTTCCGCATTCAGAAGTTGCAAGATCAATTAGACATTTCCTTTCAGTAATTCTTTTCAGTTAAAGAGCATTTAAAGCTTGGCGAGGCACACGCAGGCGAATATGTTGAGGAATGGCGGTGCTTCCCTCATGGACGCTAGGTCCTGGGACAATGTTAGCTCTTCAAGGAAGTGCAGCATAATTACTCCCTCTAGCTCACGATAATGGGTAAATTTTTAATGTTAGGGTAAATACTTATTTTGCACAAGTGGATAGGCAAGAACATTGGGAACAAATGCATTCAAATTCAAATTTTAGGAATCCTAAATTGCCACACAACCTAAAGCGTGTGATGGCAGACGCGATTACTTAAATAAAGAATATTTTCGAACAGAAAACGGCAGTACGCAACTAATCCAACAATGCGCTTTTCTTTAACATAAAACTTTAAACATATTCTGCAGGTCTTGTCAATTTGTATTTAACGGTTAATTTATCCATGGCGATAAGTTGGTTCTGTTATCCCCTAATGTGTAATAAATGGAGATATTCAATAGCAGATCGGTAAGCCATTAAGTATATCCAGGATTCTACATAATCAAACTCGGAGAGAAGAAAATATGCCACGTAATCAGTGAATATTTAAGTCCCTAGCAGGTGATCAGATTAGATGTCTTTATGTCTCACAGAACTACGGTGGTAGCACTTAACTGGGTTGTCAATTTGATATCGGACCCTTTGCATCTACCTGGGTCAAGGTATGTTAATAGGCATGTAATTGCTTCGGGGCCTTTTCAATTCAGATATTTAGTGTTAATGGACCCAAACACTTGTCATTTTGATATTAGTAAAGAATCACCGTACATTTTTACTTTTTTAAAGGGGCGGTGAAAAGCTTGAGTCGCCTAGTGAGAATACGAGTGCCCACATAAGCAAGATACTGAATTAAAGCCAAGAAAGTACACCGGTGAGGCGGTATGCACATCAGACAAACTCTAAAAAAGAAGCATTAGACAGGCAATTAATTTATTTTGGAGTGGAAGCGCAATACGATGAGTCCTGTGCACTCTGATTTGTGCCAGTACTTTCACACACTGAGGCATTCCTGACTGTCAGAGGCGGCACTTGAATGTGTTAGCCTCGGTTTACCAGTAAAACATGCGCTCTGGGAAACGAGTGCAATAGCATTGATGAAGGTACATTATAAAGAAGCGTCTCCAAATTTCCATACAAAGTTTTAAAAATTCAAAATACTTAAATGCTCTTAAGCGTATCTTGGCTCCAGCAATAAAGTCCCAAACCCCCTGTTTGTATAGTCATTTAAATGGTAGGAGTACAAGAAGCGCTTCTACTTAAAAATTGGTGACAAAACAAACACAAAGGTGGTTTATGGATAAAGTTTAAAGGGAAAAGAAACGTTCTCTGCATGTTTTGAGCAGGAAGTCAATACTTTTTACACCTAAATGGTAATGCTAAAAAGAAGTGAATTTTGGCTCCATCATGAGCAAATCTGAACCTAGTTGACTAAATCTCTTAGCAAGCTTGTGTTAGTTGCATTAAAGCGGAAATCAAAGAAATTTTGATTTGACAAGTACCCACAACTTTCTCCTCCAAAACTCGCTTCAACCCGTAGTACCCGTATTGCTAAGGCGATGCCCACCCTCATGACAGTTTTATGATTCCCATAAATCAGTACTTTGAGGGTCGAACCATAATGAGGCTGTGATTATTGTCCAGATTATTACTTAATAGGCAATATTGACTTACAAAAGGTATCATACGTAAAAAGCAACTTAGAATGGCATTCAACATCAAAGTTATTAGGGACGAATATCTGCAAGCGTACATATTCTCCCGCACTTTAATTTCTTATGGCATGCTTGATTTGAAGTGGTGAAGGATTCTAGTAACCCGAGGCTACAAAGTAATGCACAATTCAGCATTATCCTGGGCCCCACTCTTGCCTGTGACATCATTGTTAATTAGCTTGCAATCACAAATTCCAGCATTTATCAACCGATTTTAATGATAGCTCACGTACCCGCTAATCGCATCATCTTTCGCTGAGACGCGCCTTCCCCAATCGACAATTTCCTCGTCGCATGTGCCTGCCGATAGGGAACTTGCTGGCGCTGATGTTGATGGTGGTGCTGCTGTTGGCCATGGAATGCATGATGGAGTTGATTGGAGGCGGCAACGGTTGCAGCGGCAGCAGCAGCGGTGGAGGAGCAGGATGAGGTGGGTGAAGGGAGGGGCTGTTGTGGGAGGAATTTCACGTTCCCCTCGGACTGTAAGCCCTTTGCTACGTCTCGTGATACGATCTGGGCTGAAGAGAGCTTGGCCAACTGGTTAATTGTCTCCTTCTTGATCTCAGGATCACGAATTTTGGCTTGCAATTCCTTCGACTTTCGCCGCGCTAGCACCTGGATGTGACTCGATACCTGTTTCCGTGTCCGTACCTTGCCTGTTCGTTGCTGAATGTAGCGGGCAATCAACTCATTTCGGCCTGTATTAACAAAATGCATGATCATTTTTAGATCACCTTTAAGAATATAGGATACGATTGTGGGAGGGGTACATAGGACTTTGTGAGACGGTTTCCTGGCAAGTGTTGTGCTTGTCCTCATGTGAAAGACGCATGCGTGCCTAAAACTTTCGCCTGGTTTTCGACAAGTAAACAATAAACTGATAAGAAGATTCGGCACTTTATAAATGTTGAAACCTAAATATATCACTGGCTCACTTTCTATCCCGCCCTTGTCCTTAATCCTTGTTTAACTCTAAATACGATTTACTCATTACACATTGAAGTTACTTTCATTTCGGTACGCATGTAGGGCAATAAGAAGGTGGAAAGAACCGTAAGGTGAAAGATTAGGAAAAATGTTATCGCTTCTGGCAGGATGTGACTTATTCTGGGTCACTTGAATAAGCCAGTTATCTGCATTTAAACAAGGCGCCATCATGCAGCCATCCATCAATCACCCCTCCGGAAGTCTAAATCGCCGTAGTAAGTGCAGCCACACAATAAAAAAGTAATTGTCACATGCTTTTTATTTTCAAAGGTTAAGCATTCGGTAAATGTTTTAAATCAAAATCATTTTGAAACTTCTGCACTCGTGTATACAAGGTTTAACTGTGCAAAAGTTAGGTGAGGTGCTAAGGCAGATAAAAACCTCAGTTAATACTGCCTGCCATGGCATCCCAAACGGCACCAAGGATAAACGAAACTAGACTTTAAATGGTGCAGCAGTTTTACAAGCGACACCAAATTCTGATTATGAAACCTTCCTAAAGGCTTTCTAATTTAGCAGAAATTTGATATTGCGACTCTCACGATTCGATACACTTAAAAAATGCCATCAGTGAAATGGCAGAATCGCGAATCGTTAAAAATATGATTAGGATCGAAAAGTTTTACATCTATCTCATGAATCAGTTCCTCAGCTAGCCCAAGTTTTGCATCATCTTTTTGAAAACTTCCAAGAAAGTAACCAAATGTCGCGCGTTTGTTGTCAGTGCTGGTGCCACAAATCGCCTATCCAATCAGCCTACACCAGTGCTTCTATAATGTAAGCATAAAAAATGGAAATGACTTTCCTGGTGGATTGTTTATTTTGTGATTTATTGGCGTGGTTTTTGTGAATCACTCACAAGACGAAATAATGGATGTTTTTATCCCAGGCATAGTCTAAACTCCTTTTATATGCAGTTGATATGCACTGATCTTCCCCAAAAACCTCAGTGGAAAACTTTTTCCCATCCCTATTTTATCGCCCTCCTTTTACGGGCTTAAATGACTAGCTATTCACATCATTTTAGGCTCATTTAAAATTTTTAAAACACAAAATATTTTACATAGCATAGGGTGCATCATGGTGATGCCTGATGATGACAGCATCAATAAAGAGGAGCCAATTTTATTTATCTACATTGCAATACCCAATTTTGGTAGAAATCACAACAAGCAATTCAGGTGTCATTCATTACATCCCTTTTAAATGGCAAAAATCATTTAGCTACAGTGTGAACTAGAACGTTCGTTGGCCTACTACCACCACTTAGTGGCAGAAGTACAGCAAGGGCAGAGAGCCATTTATTATGCTCCCATTCCCTACTCGGTTCTCTGCATAATGCGTGAATTGCTGCCTTCAGGTAAACAGCTGCACCATCTGAACTGAAGGTCAGTGACATTTCAAAGCCACTCCCAGCGAAAGAAATTATACCATTGAGGCACTTTGGAAAATTTGGTGTAACATTTACAAAAACCCAGTCTCGTAAGAGGAATCGAAAGTGCTACTAAAGCACTTAAATTCCTTATGCCAACTAATCGCGCTTTCGTTTATACACGTGCATGTGACTCCTAAATGTCACAATCCCACAGCAAGTCATTCAAAATCGCATTTGCATTGTGAAGGAGAAGGATAGATAGGCGTGTACGTGCCTGCCTGCCTACTTCATATGTAATTGAGCAGGTAAGAGAGCACACTCCTAGAGGTGATGAAAGGTTACACTCATAATTGGATCACACCGCTGCATTCCTCCGTGGGGTGTGCGTGACTGCTAATTTGATGCAGTTGCTGTGTAAGGAGAGTCAAATTCCAGTGTGGCATATGCCGACAGCAATGGAGACGGTGAGAAATGAAGGCAAAAAAATGAAGAGCTTACGAAGTTATGCATGCAGACTTATTTTAGCATGCTCCAATGCAGACTTTATTCCTGCTTTTACTCCTACAAGGTAAAACCCTTGAGCCATTTTAAAACCACCTTTTGCACAAAAAAACGAGTCTATCAGCTCCACACATCTGGCTAATTTTCTAGAAGTTCCCGATGGAAGTTATTTCAATAATTGGTTGGAATTACTTAACGGCTGGTTAATAATTACTCGATTTATTACAATTTAAACCAGCCCGAAAGCATTTTCCAAGTTTTGGGCTAAGATATGAAGTGCTTGTTCAATCACAAGAGCCTTAATTCCTGTGACCAAACCATGATTTCAAATACGGTACAATTCCGAGAGCTACAAATCAAACAACAATCGTGACCCCTTAAAAAAATTTTACTACAATTTTGTAAGGAAGCTAAAGGTTTGCAGTCTTATTTGATTCCAATTTGTGCAAGAAAATCGCGTTTTATTTTGTGTGTATGGGGCTGCAGGAGAGCTTTCCCTTGCAGGACATGTCCCTGTCGCAAATTGCAACCAGCTGCGCACTAAGTCAAGCGCAGGAAACATTAATGTCCCTCCAATTGTCACATAACATAGGGGTTTAGTGAAAAAAAACGCAGTCTTGTCAAAGGCTTTCAAGTACAAAGTATGCAGTGGTCTGTAGCCATACGAAAAGTTGCAAGAATAATCTGTCCCAGGTGGTGTCCATGTAAGGCTGACATATGTTCTAAACCGTTCGTATAGTCCGGGCCTGTTGGTGTCGAATTGGCGAAGTTTATAGTAAGTTTTAGTAGTACAGCATTTGTAAAATCCATGACGTGTGGTTCTTGAAAATTAAGGCAGATGAACCGCAACATAAATTCAAATTGTTTTACTCATTTCAATGATAATGCTGATTATTCTATTTATGGCTGCCAACGAGGTGAACATTCAAATGTCAACATTGAAGAGAACAAAACATGAAACGGCTTAGAAAAACGTCAAACCGACTATAGAAATCGTTTATAATACATAATAATTTATCACCAAATTAGTGTATGAGGGCATTCGAAACGCTGGTTTCGTAAATGGGAAGAAAAGCGAACGCGAAAATGAAGTTGCTTAAAAATAATAAATAAGTAGGCATAGGAAGCTTTAAACAGATTATTTATTAAATTGATCACCAGCACAATCTCTGATTTTAACATGGGAAGAAAAGAGACTCCTCAGTTTTATTTCACTTCTATTTTCCAGCTGTTCAGTCTATTTCGCGAGCGGTTATGGGATAATTTAGTGCCATGAATAGGTGACTATCACCTAGTAAATTATAATTTGAGGACTGTGCAGAGGATAAATATGGAGAAGGGGCAGTGTCTCAATCCCTATCATCTCACGAGTAAGTCATGAGGAATGCGAAAAGTGAGATGAGGTATTGCACCGCCTTGCCTTATTCGGATAGGACTTTCCTTTGGATGATTGACTAGATCTGTCTGCTCCTCGAGAATTGGACAAAGAGAGACAATGAATGACTTCCCGGGAGACTAACGCATTCACCCTATGGTACACGTGAGGAGGCACATTCTACAAGTTTGCATGACTTGTAACGAGTCAGTAGAGGAGAGTTTCTCAAAAATCGTAGAAATTTTTTGTCAATACGCTTTCCTCACTTTATTTGCTTAACATCCTTAAACATCTTAATTATGTTCACTTGGTCGCTGTATACCCATCTACGGAAAATAGTCAATGGTCTAATCTCATTACCTTGGAGACCTCAAACACCGAATAGAATAAAATCTTTCTTTGCCTGTGCAACTTGGCTACAAAATTGGCCATAGGAAAGTTGGAATTTGTAGAACCGCCTATCTTCTAAAAAATTTATTTCTTTCTTTTAAAGTAACTAAGTTTCACTAGAAAAATTGCAGCTCCCTCCACTCTCCGCTTCCAATTCGGTTCTTGTGTATAAATCTTGAGAGCAAATGAATTTGCGTAAGGAGAAAAAGGAGGAGGAGGAGGAAGAGGAGGAGAGAAGTTGACATTTACTGTGTCTTTTCTGTTTTAATTGCCAAATGACCGTGGCATTTCCCAACGAAACTTATTGGTCATGCTGCAACAAACAGCCGTCTGTGTTAGTTCTGGAGCCAGTCCCACCTTTGTACGAGGTGAGCTTTTACCTATTAAGGAATGGATCGGTTCTTTGAGAAGCCGAATTAAAATCTAACATTTTAAAAATATGTTCAGAAAGTTAAATTAGGGATGAAAAATTATTTAGGAATTTAACGCACTTTAATCGGTCAAAAGTACCCACTATTTTGGCCTCAGTGCCTATATGAATTGGCATCCCTAAGCGCTTATACTTAGAGGATCATGATACATCTCTCGAAACGTAATAAGCTGACTTTGCAGTTATGCGCAATTCAAATAGTAAAATGTTAAGCAAACAATCGTTAATTAATAGATTATCAATGAGTTGGGATGGCATGTGCCTCGCGCCAACGGTAGTTGGGGCCAAAATCACCATCGCTGGTCTTGAGCATGCAGGATCCGATAATGTGTAAGTGGAAAGTAAGGCCAATTTAGAAGATAAATCAGATCTTCATACAATGTCGCACCGAGGTATAGGAGAGAAAGAAAGTTCAAACCGCCAAATCTCAATGAATAACTCACTAACGCAAAAGTGGCAGTTTGTCAAGACCGAAACACTCAACCAGGCACATTGTGCCTTCGCTCACAGCACTCACAGTGGTGGATAAAAGAATTTGGGTGATTACGTGGAATGCGGGGCAGCAAGCAGTGTTCCGCCCCCAAGTAAGTCAAGTGTCTTCGGAGTTGCCAACGCTGGTGACACTAATTTCGGCGTGTGTGGGTGGGTGGATGGGCTTCTACCAACGATGTGAGCGCTAAACACACAGGAACATTAAATTATTTCGTGTACTAGAGAGGTAAAAAGTCTGCTGGCTGAATTATGATTATGCCAAAATGCTCAACGTCAGCTCCTTCGGTCTTAAAGCTTTTAAAGTCACTACTCTACAGATAAAAAGTGAGACTCTGTGTAAGTGGAAAGCCTCTGTGATTTGGATATAATATCATTTGGTAATTGTGGGTCTTCAGAAGTGTGTAGTTGGTTTGAATTACAAACTACGTGCAACTAACACATCCATCTTTTCTTCAGAACTTTGGACTTCAGTTACATCTTTTTTATTGCTTTAACGAAATCGTCATGCACTTTTTTGGATTCTTGTCTCAGTTGGCTTTACTTTGAGATGTAGGCGTCATGCTCTAACTCGTTTAACTGGTTTAATATCATCCAAAACCGGCGTATACTCTCACTGGTATTCTTTTGTGAAAGAGACAACACATGATGCATCAATGTGACCCTGCTGCTGTAATCAACCAACCATTCAACCATCGTGCTTCAACCCCAAAGAAGGAAAGAGGCGCGTAGACGGCAGATGTTCAAGACCGCCTCGTGGGCGGTAGGTGGTCAAATTAAAGCGGCGCTAATGACAGTCGCCACAGAGGAGAAGAGTCAAAGTAGGTCCCCAAGTAAGACAGGATGGAAGGTGAGTCACGCTTGCACATTACCCTACCTTTTTACCGGTTCGCTCCTTCTTCCCACGTCTGGGCGCTCTCTGATGCAATATGGCTTTGCCTATAGCAAAAAAATCTGTTTCCCAAGCCCTAATTCCACACGATATATAAATAAACATACACGTATTCGCTGGTCGAAGCACTGGTAACGGAGCACAAAAACTCTGCCCAATTGTCTGGCCAACCATTATCTACCGTTTGTTTCACCTGACAACAGATTGACATTTGCAATTAGAACTCTACAATCAGTACCATTTCGGTTCCGTATTTCTCATAGCATGTATAGTAAGCAAATTACATGGCGATAGAAGACCAAACAGACGAAATAAAAGTAGGAAATTGAACCCTCTATGGGCTGAACGAGGCCATGCATTGAATTTATTTTAATTTGGACAACTTTTCACTCTTTCCTTCTTTAACGATCATGGAATAAGCAGAAGGGGCGTCCACTGCGAACCCTAAATGCACAACAGAGAGGGCCCGTTCAGGTGACGTTTGTCAGTGGTGCGAAATTGGGCTGTACCGAATTATAAGCGATATATTTCTTTCAGCTTGACAGTTGTTTTCCACTTCAGCCCGATTCATGGATTAACTGCTGCTATTAACAAAGGCCAAGAGGCGCTGCGCTGGTCAAAAATTATGAATGGCAATTTTGGCATTTGCAAAGCTTCAATCCCAGGGACTTAAGGCGCTAATCAGGCAAATTCTGCATGCAGAAGGTGAAATAGCAATCTTCCGGAAGAATTAAAAAAAGAAATGGTCATTACAATAATATTCATAAATACTCATGGGAGCAATAAAATCTTGTTAAGTCACTCGTCAACGAACATTGGAAATGGTTTAGAGTTAGGTATTTCCAATAAAACTCACAATCAGTGTGAACAAATGAAAACGTTATTCTTTACTTATCAATAGAAAAGAGGAGTAAAAATACTTAATAATTTAATAATTAACAATTCCGGGTACTAGAAATTTACCACGGTGCCCACTACAAAAGCCGATTTACCAAATAAAATGAGTGGAGGCCACTTATCACGACTAAATTTCTGGTGATTTCCGTTGGCATTAATCAGTAGGGAGAACTTTAAAGATAATCTTTCATTATTGTGCCAAAACCTTTTAGATATCCATTTTACAGTTATTTTGAGAAGGTTTTATGAACATTTTACCTCTAATAAAGTCTGTTTTTATGCAGAGCTGTAGGAATCGCTACAGCCTTTAGCACTTTTAAGACCTGACAGTGTGATAGATTTGAGGGATTCAGAATTTACAATTAGTGCGCTGGCTAAATAGTAAATATACCACTCACTAAATCTATATTAGATTCCTTCCACACTAGTCAAAAGTTTTTTTTTAAAAAAAAACTAATTAGGATTTCAATTCGTGACCTTTTGGCGGGCTGTCAACGCCAACATTTTCACCCATTCGATTTCCCTCTCAGTATGACAGTTTGGCTTCACCCGACCACCCATCAAAAGCAAGTGATTTTGATAAGATGGATTGAGTGATTTTCTCCTGTGGAATGGTGCATCTTTAGACGAGATGCTGTAAGAAATCGCAGCCAAATCGCAAATGCATTATCCCAAAAGGGCCTAAATTCCTTACTCCCACTACAACCGAATTTATTGCCTTTCCCGTGACGGAGAGGTCACATAAGTGGGAAGTGGAGATTATAATAGCCGGAAGTATTCCATTTTTACGTCCATAGATCCTTCATGAGCAAAACAAATAAAAGACATTTTTTTCTGTTAATGGCCACTTTATCAACCAATTACCGAAAGGTAGAAAATCTCCAGTAAGATCCAAACAAATCCATGAGGCACTTGAAACTTGCGTACACACTGCTCATAAATAATAACCCAATTTTCTCTCAAAAAAAGTCCGAAACAAAGGAATTAGTTTTGCAGTGGCGTAAACAGGTATTAAAGGTGTATGCTACTATGGAGCTGTCTGAAGGTATTGGCCCTCTGATGGGATGAGGTACTTGAAACATGCACATTTACAAGGAGGAGGGTGGGACTGAAGACGTTGGTTAGTCTTGGAAGAGTTCATATAATACTCTCAAAAGCTGATTTTAAAAGGTCTTGGAACTTTTTTTTAATACAGTAAGCGAAAACCAACACTAGTGATTGAGCAGCGAATTTTGTCACAACCACGAACAAATGTACCATTAATGCGTGACGTGCCTCACCGCCTACACTGATGTGTAAGATCCATGGGCTAATTTAATGATTAGGCAAGAATATTTATACAAAAAACTTTCTGGTTTAGTCAAATCCAGTGGCGGTCGCCCCAATTTTACTTATATTCAACTGAGAAGCTAAGCTACGAATTGATGATTTTGAAGACACATTATAAGGACACAAGGTACCTAAGTTATTCGAAGCCAAGTTGGAGCTTTGCGTTTTTTTCTCTGTGAGCACTTACATGCTCGAACACAATAACCGATTCATTAACTAAAGGTGACTGTGATTCCTGCAAGGGGTCATTTCAATGGCCCTCTCCTCGGTCATTCTAAACTTAGAGTAAACATTATCCTGTGATGTGCTAGATCTGCAAAATCTTAGCTTTGCAGGCCTATAAATCTATATTAAACTCTTACATTTAAAAATTAAGGCTTGCAAACGCATAGATACAGTTGTACCAGAAAGGCAGCGATGGCTACCAATTCATATCAGCCAGACAAAGTACTAGCAACAAAATCGGATTGAAAACGTGATGTATACATAACTCTGGAAGAAATAATCCTAATAGCTTAAACAATCTAACATAGGAAGCAATAAAAAATCATCGAGTGTAATTCCTTGTTGAAGGGTGCAATTATGGTGCAAGCTAAGAGTGTTTTCAACTTAAGTGGTGATCCCTTACCTTATCTAACATTTAAGACTCGCCTGAGGGGAATGTAGATTAGTAATTGAAAATAAAAGAGTTAAAGCCTAAAATTCATTCTAGGAAACACGCTTTTAGGAGCCAAAAACAACATAAATTATGCAAATATTGTGTTATTTGTTAATATTTAGCCGAAATTAAGAGTCTTTTTGTCAAAAATACCTATTATGAATTGACTGGCGCCATCTTCAGCTATCACAAAATAAATATTAATCTAGCTGTTAATTATTAGCATCGCTTTCATTGAAATTTCTAAGAAAGACCTGAAAATACAAGTAAAAGCACCGTAAATATTACGCTACTATTTTATGTCTTCATTCAACTAAAAAGACGCCTTTATTATCTTATCAAAAGTGATATAAGGATGAATCAGGTAGAACAGTAAGCAGACAGATAAGATGGCAGACTGACATGGCCTTATTATCTGTTCACACCACTTTTAAAAAATATGGACAAAAAAGGCTGTAAAAAGGATAAGCACAACATCACAAAAAACAATGTTACCACTCACCATACATCTTGCCCTCCTCTGCTAAAATAATTTTTCGCCTGCCACATGGCGGATAAAGTTCCAGCGCTTCCTGAAAATACTGCTCAATCTCCGTTGACCAGACGCCGTCAGCTTCGTTGCCACCGCCGCCCCCGCCAGCCCCACCATCCACCTCCGCATCGTCCGACTGCGAGGCAGTAGTAGCATCACACTCGCTGCCTCCTGTGATCACAGGGCTACTACCTCCACCTCCGCCTCCACCGGAACCTAGAGCTAGTGGCGAGATGGCAGCGGGTCGCTTTTGAGCGGACGGACCGAAGGGGCGCAGTGAAGCGGCAGAGGCAGCGGCAGCAGCGGCGGCAGCGGAGGAGGAGGCGGAAATGAAAACTGCGGCCATGTCGTAGGCAGAGGGCAAGGTGGCTGCTGGTGAAGCTACCTCTTTAAGTGGTGGTTGCTGAGGGCTTTGAAAACCGTGAACCATATTGTGCATCGGTGGGTAGTCAAATGGCGAGGGAAGGCCAGCGTGAGCGGTGGTTGATGAGGAAGGAGGAGCACGTACGGAGGGATTCGATTGTCCTGGTAGAGGCATGCGGGAGCCCGAGGAGGCTGGTGGTTGCATTGTGGATCTGGTTCAAGCATACAGGCATCTCTTCAGCATAAACAAATATCAGCAAAAAGTACGGAAAGATGCGTGATATCTACGTTGCAAATTTTGCAAGGATCTCTGAGAATGCATAGCAGTTTTGTTTTGCATATTTACATCAATTGAAATAAGCATTTTATTTTACGTTAGTACGTATATTGTTATTCAACACTGCCGACTAGCATGCGAACAACGGAATCTAGAACTAAAGTTCTCACCACTCAACGATGAGAAAATAAGTGTAAGTTTTAGATGTTTGTGAAAACACTAAAAATAATGTTTGTTTTTGCGATGCGGACACATTTGTAAAGATTAGGGTAAAATTCGGATGATATTTTTACAAAGCGCTGGTAATGAATGATGAATTTGGCACTCAGGTGTTTTACGAATAGGTAAGTTAAAAGCAAGCGCAATCTTTTATTAACCAGCATTAAAAGCTTTAAAACACCAAAACTAATTAGTTTTTGTTCTATGGAAGAGAATATAAAAGAAATAAAGATAGGCGCAAGTAATTTGAATAAAAGCGGTTATTCACCAAGTATTATGTCTTCAGCCTAAAACATCCGTTAAAATGGCCTTTATTACTTTTAAGACTTTTAACTTATACATGTGCTGAATGATTCTTGACCTTAGCATTTATTAGTGACCAAAACACAGACACTTGAAGAAAATAATAGTATCTTTCTTGCTAAATAGGTAAATGGAGATAAAATAGAGCACAGCTAGACTAAAATAACAAAAGCTACTAACAGTTAAATAAAAAAATTATCACAAGATGCCCTTGCTGCGAAATATGTTCCATTGCATAAAAATACCCCAACCATGAATTCAAGTCATTCCCAAGGAGGAATAATCGCATAAAGCGGGCCAACTATTACCTAATATTGTTCAAGTTTCAATAAGACTTGTAGTTCCATGACGAGACTTTAAATCTTGGTGAGATTCCTTCCTCCGACGTATTAATAAATCCAGCTAACTTTGAAATTTTCACTCTTTCCATTTCATGCGACACCAACTGCATGCACCAATCATTACAGCAGACTTCTAGGTCGTTGATAAAAGTGAAGTAATAAAACTAAGTCGCCAAAATCATTTATTGCATTGCCTGAAAGCAAAATATGCAACAATTGTATAGTTAGTTTGTTTTTTAGATTTGCTTAATTTTCGCCGTCGGCAGTGGCCGCAAGTATTTCAGATGAATTCTGGTCCGTGATTAGCTGGTCGGGTAAATCGTCTAAATTTGAATGTCCTCCATGGTACCTCAAGGAGATAAACTAACCTCTAGCTTGTGCAAGCAGCTTTAGCTCTACTGTAACACTTGCTGTATTTAAGCAGACCTTTTTGAGAGAAACTAATACTCGGCACGAACCTCCTGATACAGTGGTGGTCAAAATTCCTCAAAGCAGAAAAAAGCTCATACTACAGGACCTGCTAAACCTGTAGCTGTTTTTCGTCAACTCTAAACAAAAACGCTTTACTTAAATTAAATCCTTTATTTAAAGGATAAACGAGGTACGTGCTACACTGCTGTGTGTTACACGTACATGCTGCCTTAGCACTATTGTAATACGATGATTGTTTATCTCTTGGCATTGGTAAGGAGCCGCTTTTGACTTGACCTTTGTACCAAGCCGGGTGGGCTGACATTCGAGCCATGCCAGTAGTCCAAATACCTTCTCTGTGCCGAATATAAATATATATATTCCGCCCGAGTATTATGTCTTCTTCTGTTTTTAGAGAAGTCTTGGGATGCCACATTAGTAGCAGCGAAAAGCAAACCTGATCCTAAAGGCCATCAATTCCGATTTTTAATGCTGCGTGATAAACCTTAGCTTAGCGGAAGAAGTACATATGCAACGGATGGGAGAAAGGTGACGAACCCAAACAAAGGGGTTTAAATTGATGTCTACCTTCGGCATCTATCACAATCCCGTATTCTACAGGAAAGCTACTTGCAAATGGAGCGACACTAGCCATGAATCGTAAGGGAGTTTTGTTACAGACTTTCCCTAGCGTAACTGCAATAAGCTACTGATAATGTAAAGTCGCGACATCTCCTCCAATTCCTTACTAGCTGAATAGAGCATGAGCAAATCTAAAGTGGAAACAACGTTGCGAGGAGGAACAAACGCGATACCCTTTCCCCATTAACCTGTAATAAATCCAGTTCTTTCTTGCACAAATCTGCTTTTAAGCCAATGTTCCTGCATCTATCAATGGACAGGCATAATGGCCAGCACAAGTCCCCGTTCGTGAATCAAGTTCCCAAACCATACAAAATTCCAGATCCAGTTAAATTGTCAAGAGGGATCAGTAACAATGCGGTTAAGTATCGCCTCAGTTGCATGCTAATTTGATGACTGGCACAGCTTTCTCGTGGGTGTTTCCTTGAAGTATTGACTACGTTGTGGTGGCTGACGAGGGAGGTTGAACTGCGGGAGCGCTGGAGACGATTCTGAAAAGAGGAGGGAGGCCATGTTTATCCCTCGGTATTGGTGATTTTGCCTTTGTACCACGAGGGTGGACTGGCCTTTGGGCCATGCCAGTGGCCCGAATAACTTATTGTGCTGAGTTTATAAATTCTGCCTGAGTATTATGTCTTCTTTCGTCTTCAGAGAAGACGAATATAAGCACTAATAGGTACAATCAAGATACTACTGCTATTAATTAAATCACTAAGAGTATCTGCAATTTATGTTAATGCAAATTCATTTTGAATTGAGCACAGTCCTTCTCCTTTAAGATAAGCTTTAGGTATATTGCTATAGACTTCTGTATACTTGCTTTCTAAAGTTAATGCACATATATTTCAGGGATGGTTAAGGGTATTTAATATACCAAACACCTACAATTAGTGAGGCTTCCTAGCATAACACACCTCACCTCTCTTGAATTGATCTGTAGAATTTGCTCTGATTATACAGTTTGTGCAACTAGTAAAGTAGTAAATGCTTCAATATACCTCTCGTGTTTGGATCAACTAAATGTCTGGTAATAACCTTGCGTAATGACAACAGACAAATTCATCTGGGAATGCGCATTCCTCTCCGCAATCATACATCACAGCGTCCATTGTCTGGGACGGTTTTATTTGATCAATCAAAAAAGGAAGCCTCAACATTAGGCCAACATTTCAAGGAGTTAAATAGACGCTTAAAGTCTTCCTGGAAAGTTTTAATGTATGGCAAACAGCATGTGTAATTTAAATTCCAGTAATACAGACGAAGTAACAGATGAAAGAATCGAATCTGCAAAGGTCTTTGTTATTACAGGACCGACAGAAAAATTCAGTGTTGACGAGGTAAACGCAAAATGCTCCGTATTTCAGAAATTATTAGCTCGAAGTTATAAACACATATTTGAACAAAGGTGGGTCAGTTCTAGTTTTGCTTGGTGAGAACGGTGAAAGCAAATATCCAACCAATATTAACTACCTGCTGGAGCAATATGGCATCTCAATTAATAATGGTAATTTCTTGGTAAGGTAACCACCTATTTTAGATTCGGTGGTTAGGACATCGTACTACAAATACTTCCACCCCAAAGAAGCCCTCATACCCAACGGCATAGTGAATAGGTGTGTTTAAAATGTCATGTGTGGTAGTAATGCTTCCATTTTTTGCATTCCTTCATTCCCACAGAATACTTCAAACATATGTACAGGATTGGTATTTATTCATGTACATGTGCAAGTTGTCTTTCAGACCACTGATAACTGTGATCTTAATGTCATTCTCCTAAACACTTGGCCAACTATTGTTGCGTGCAACTGCATTGTACAGTTTCAAACCTATGCATTGTGTTATTTCGATAAGTCTTGTAATTTAGGAGGACCTGCTTGTCTTTTGTTATTGTCAATGTTCTCAATACATTCTGAGTGTTCCTTACGTTTCTTTACATGCGCTCCTATTCAAAAATTTGAGCTTCCAGTTCACCTGCATCCGCTTGATGGTGCCACAAGTTTGCTCGAATTGTTTGCCGTTAACAAGTTGGAATGTACTCTCCTAAGCACCAATTATGAATGCGGTGGATCTCAGTCAGAGTATCCCACTGTAATAATTTATCTACGCCATTACCTCTAGGGCTATCGGCGAAGCCGCTGGGAAAACATCCGCCCATTCCGGTGGCGATGAAGTATGTCCTAAGCAGGCTCTTCAGTTTCTCTACGCCTTCGGTGCAACACTGAATGTCGTCAAGCCAGCAACGGTTTTGCTTTCCACTGGCAGTGTCGCTTTTCCTCTCAATCGGCCGGTTTGTGCCGTCTGTGAAATTGAGGTCGACCTCACATTCTTACCGTTATCCGTTCTGCTTTGATTTCATTTATAAAGGTAGAAATAAACCCTGTTACATTTGCGGTTAGATAAACTTGCCGAAATCAACGTGTTGGCTGATCTGATAATTCCACTTTAGTGAGTTGTCTCATGCTTGCTTTTACTGGTCGATTAACTTCGCTACTTTGTAGTTACTTGTTTTGTTGTCTGCAATGATAAGTCGAATGGTACTGAAGCAGATTTAAACCAAAATCCAAATTTGAAAGCCATCTCATTTTTGAAGCAGCGCACCTCTACTAAACTAAATATGCTCATAGTCTCAAATGCTTTAGTAATTGTTATCACAAAATCTGCCTTATCCGACAAATCAAATGTATGGTTCTGATAGAATCCCAACGGCGGGTCCGGAAAACTGGCTGTTGTTGGGAGCATAGCAATGTTTACGGATGCCTACATAAACAAGGAAGACAATGCGAAGATCTTTGATGTCATCATCTCCTTCCTAACCTCGGAGACATTCAAGTTAAACGTCATTGATGCTCAGGATCCGGAGATTGAGACATACTTCCAGATTCCTGATATTTCTACTCTGTCAAACAACTTAAAAGCCTGTCTGCAGGAGAGTGAAGAGATTCCACGCAACCTCGATGCTGTTTTTGATCAGAAGCTCTTTGCAATGGACATTTCCATGGTGCCAAAAGCTCTTGCGTGTGTGCTTGCCCCGATAAATGCGAGTTCTAATTTGCCCCTGAATGCCTGCATAAGTATTTGTGATAGAACTCACTGCTTACTTGTTATTCGGATGTGCTTGCATTATCATTTGGCATATCATATTTGTGCTGTAGGGCCTACGAGAAGCTGCGAGTCAAACACGAACCACTCACCTTGATTACGCCCGAATTCGAAACGCCTCTGCCTCCATTGCAACCTGCGGTGAGTTATGCTGCCCCACATAAACTAACAACTTTTAGTGCGTCACAAATCCGTTTGTCTCTCTCCCAACGACCGTTGACGATGCTGGCGACTAGGTGCTTTAAACTCACTTGTCCGTGATCTCTTCATAATTGGTTAGATTTATTGTAATGGCTTACTTTGGGTCACATGTCTTCCTTTCTGCAAGCTGGACTTGTTGGCGGTAAATGAGTAGGGTAGCCCTGACGTTCTGTGTCTTTGCTAGGTGTTCCCTCCTAACTTTCGTGAGTTAGGACCTCCGGCTCTGGAACTATTCGACCTTGATGAACATTTCTCTTCAGAGAAAACACGCTTAGCTCAAGAGGCCAATAAATGTAAGAATGGTTCATCTTTATCCCATCCTCAACTTGTCTACCATTGCAATGTCGCAGTGGTTAGTGCATAATTTTGGATTTGCAAGTTACATTGAGTGAAGACGAGGTGATAGGTTTTCGGACAAGTTAGCAGAACACCTCCATTTGCTAGGTACAGAAGACGATCTAGAATACTTCATTTTGCACTGCGGAGAGGTTTGTGGGATTGCTCAAAAGCTGCCGCAATCGCAACGAAAGGCTCGAAACATCCTTGAACTCACCCTCATGGAGCTAGTTGAGTTTAAAAAGATGCACTCGGTGAGTCAACAATATTCTGTCCACGGACTAGACTTGCATCTGGTTCTTATGAAAGCCCAAACTAAGCACCTCATCTGCTTCCTCAAAGGAGGTCTTATTTGATCGACATGGTACTGTTCTTAGCCTTGTAGGCTCTGGTAACACCTGTTTTCCTTCTCACTTAGGATAATGATGAAATCTCATCGTGGTGATTTCACTCTGACGGGTTGGTCATTCTTTTGACGTTTGATGTGTTATACGATGCTGTGGATGCGTGCCTAGTAGAATCATTAATGCTTTTGTCAGATAAACGAGTGTAAAATACGTGAATAAATAAAGTTCTTGCATGGTGTTCTTTCATTGGCCGGGTTGTTGAGACAATGATGAGGAGATGGCTTCCTTAAATAAATATGATGATTTTGATTTTCAATATTTGTCATATAAGAAACTTGATGGATTTGAATTCCACTCTGCAACTTGAATGCAGCAGTGTGAATGGGCAATAAATCAGATTGCTACTGACTACATTGCGAGTAGCACTTGGTCCAGGCTTTACTTGGTCCAAGGACAACTATACGTTAGGTACTTGCTTTCAAAGTGGTGTGGTGAACTCAATCATTATGCAGTGAATTTCTCTTGGAAGCAGCGCCTGATATACCATCACGGCTCTCGACGTCATTTAGTATTTGCTGGAGATACAAAGGCCAAATTTGATCACCTAGAACACCAAGCTGTTTATGTAGTAAGTCAGCACCGCAACGATCTGCTATCCTCGTACATTTCTTGATTGGCTTGAGGCAGACGGCTTAACCATTCCGGTCAGAAAGTTAGAAGTTACTGTTCGAAACCCAATTCGGCTGCAAAGAATTCACCGAGAAAAGAGAAAGTCACCTTTCCAAGGAAAATAGCTCACAAACTGGTTTTAGGAAGGGAAAACTGAAGACCAGTTGAAACGATAAAATGTGCATTCGTCTCATCTAATTCAATTCTCAGGCAACAAATGCATTTCATGAAGTGAGAAGAGTATTTGTGTTAAACCATGTCAGCGCATCTCCATCCCATTATCTATTGCTAGACAGTCACCAGCTAGTGAGCCTTAAAATGCCTATAGGTTTGTGGATGGAAATGGTCAACAACTACTAAATTTTACAAGTAAAATTCGTCTTGCAGTCCGCTATTTTGGATCCTAATCTAGAATAGATCCCTCAATGAACGCTAGGCATGTGGAAATAGCAAACAAAGCATTGAATTAAGAATATGAAACATTAACAGCTCAAAAATCATCAGGATCATCTTCGTTTTCGCCCACTTCCTCTTCCCCCTCTTCCCCCTCCTCCCCCTCCTCCTCCACCTCGGGGATTCTGGTAATGCGGGAGGTGGCGATATGGCTCCGGTAAGTGCCACCCTTCCCCTCCTCTGCTGCTGTTTTCGCCAATTCAATGCCTTTCGTCAAGGCGTTCGCCTCTGCCAGTACCTCTGCAAGGGCCCTGTCCACTCCCTCTCGTCCTGAATCCACCTCTCTATTCTGCAACGTGGCGACACACATTGTGGATTAACAGCTGCAGTCTCGCTACCTGGACAACTAATTAACCGGCCAACTCAACATTAGAATTGTAACGCGTTCAGTCAGCGAACTCTTGTGTGCAACCGGCTTACTGCTTTCAACGCTGATGAATTATTAAACACAGCCGTTCTAAAGGGATCAGCACTGATGCCGCCACCTGCTGCCTCGCCATGGGCACCAGCTAGGGCACGACC